AACTGAGTAATTCCGTGAAAGACCTTGGATTGCACATTGACTCCACCTTGAGCTGGCAAACTCAAGTGTCAAATGTTTGTCAGAAAGTGACAGGTATTTTGCGTTCTCTCTACCGCCTGAAGAACTTTCTCCCGTCCAGGACCAAGACGATTATTGTGCAGACCTTAATTTTTCCCATTTTTGACTATGGTGATGTGTGTTATTTTGACCTGAATGCAGAACTCTTGAACAAATATGACCGTCTTCTTAATACATTCTTTAATCTTTAGTTGTAATTTAGCATTCGATTCATTTTTAATCTTCGAAAGTATGATCATGTGTCTACTTATCGCTCTCAACTCAACTGGTTACCCATTCGTCAGCGCCGTAGTCTACGTGCACTCATTACTCTTTACTCTATCTTGATGTCTCCTAATCCTCCATCTTATTTAACTCCTCATTTTCAATATCTTAGCTCCAATCATGATAGAGTTCTCCGTTCTAGTAATAACCTTTTGCTTCAGTGCCCCCCTTTTAGTACTAACTTTGTTCAATCATCGTTCTTTGTTCAATCTGTTCTTCTTTGGAACGCTCTGCCTTCCGAAATCAGGAGTGCCGAAAACCGGATTACGTTCAAGTCTAAAGTGCGAGAAATGCTCGTCAATAAAATGGCAGAATCAACTTAGCGTTCGTAGTTAGCAGTATTTAATATTATATTTAATATATATGTGTGTGTATGTATGTATGTATGTATATATATGTATATATTTATACGCTTATATATGTATGAGTTTATATATGTGTATATATGTATATGTATATATGTATTGTACATACTTCTTATTACACCTACCTCTTTTATCTCTGCACTACTCTAAGGTAGACTGGTAGATAATGCCTCAGGCATTAAGTCCGCCTATATACATCTAATGTGTATATGAAGTTAAATAAATAAATAAACGCCGTCCAATACCATCTCGAGACGGCGAGGCCGGCTCTGCTCTTTCTGACCGAGACGCAGGTGTACTATCCGGCTGATGTCTCGTATCTCTCCTACCCGGGGTACAAACTGGAACACTCCTTTGTGCCTCGGGCTGGAGTTTGCGTTTACGTCAGAGAGGACATCTGTTCTCGATGCCTCGGCAGTCTTGAAGGTTTGGACCTGTCCATCCTTTGGCTACACGTAGACAGCGACTATCCATCTAGACCATCCGCACGTCTACGGGTGCCTCTATAGGTCCCATAGTGGTAATGCCGAAACAGACCGACTCTTCGACCACGCCCAAATGGCTACAGATTCGTTGCTACAACAAATCCCCTCCGCAGAGATCGTGATCCTCGGCGACATTAACGCCCATCACGCCGAATGGCTTGGCATATGATGTGACACAACTTGTTACTTCGCCTACGCGGATTCCAGATGTGGAGGATCATGCACCTTCCCTGTTGGACCTTCTGCTGACCTCTCACCCGGACGGATATCAGATTTCCGTCGATGCCCCTTTAGGCTCCTCGGACCATTGTCTTATCCGGAGTGTGGTGCCACTCACGCTGAAATCGCAGTTGCATTCTGCAGGCTGCCGCCGTGTTTGGCACTATAGGTCAGCCGATTGGGATAGGATGCGGTCTTTCTTTGCATACTACCCTTTGGGGCGGGTTTGCTTCTCGCCGGACGATCCCAACGTTGTTCCGGATTCTGTCGCTGATGTGGTATTTCAGGGTATGGAACTTTTTATTCCTTCCTCTGTGGTGCTCATCGGATGCAAATCTCAGCCATGGTTTGGTCGCTCCTGTAAAATAGCATCATGCTATATGCAGGAGTGCTACCAAGCCTGGGCTGACGCATCAACGTGCCGGGATGTAAACACCAGCGCTCTAAAAAAGAAGTATAATTTCGCCTCTAGGTACTTCAAAAGTCATTGCCAAGGCAAAGTCAGAGCACATAGGCAGAATTGGCGAGAAACTAGTTCGCCTTCATTCTGGAACTCGTGCATTCTGGTCTTTCGCCAAGGCTGTCCAGGGGAATTACTGTCAGCCATCTCTTCCATCTCTGCACAGGGAGGACGACTCATTGGCTCATACCGCAAAGAAGAAGGCCGATCTGCTGAGCTCTTTCTTTGCGTCCAACTCGACTCTCGATGACGGGAGGAGTACGCCGCTGACTATCCCGCGGTGTGAGTGCTCCATGCCGGAAGTGCAGTTCACACAGCGCTTGGTTCGCAAGGTACTCCTCTTCCTGGACATCCACAAGTCGAGTGAGCCTGACGGAATCCCCCCAATTGTGTTGAGGACGTGTGCTCCAGAGTTCGCACCGGTTTTAACGCGTCTTTTCCGGTACTCCTACTCCCTAAGCGTAGTCCCAAAATCATGGAAGACGGCTTTCGTCCACCCGATCCCTAAAAAAGGCGACTGCTCAGACCCGTCCAACTACCGGCCTATCGCCATCACCTCCTTGTTCTCCAAAACAATGGAGTCTATTGTTAACTGCCAGCTCATGAGGTACCTTGAGGATCACCAGCTGATTAGTGATCGCCAATACGGTTCTCGCCGTGGTCGATCAACTGGTGATCTTCTAGTCTACCTAACTCACAGAGGTCGGAGGCAGTAGAGTCCAAGGGGGAGGCATTGGCCGTTAGTTTGGACATTGCGAAGGCCTTCGATCGGGTTTGGCACAAAGCGCTTCTTTCGAAGCTCCCTTCCTATGGGCTTCCCGAGAAATTGTGCCGATTGGATCACCAGCTTTCTTGAAGATCGGAGCATCAAGGTCGTTGTTGACGGTGCAAGCTCCGATTACAAGCCTATTAATGCTGGTGTTCCACAAGGCTGCTTGCTGTCGCCAACGCTGTTTCTTTTGCATATCAATGATGTGTTGCAAACCCGTAACATTCATTGCTATGCAGATGACAGCACTGGTGATGCTCTGTACACCGGCCATGCCAATATCTCTCGGGAAAACGTCTCCGAGTACCGGGACAAACTTGTGTCTGAAGTCGAGTCTTTGCTGAACAGAGTCTCGGATTGGGGGCGACTAAATATAGTCCAGTTTAAGAAGACACGAGTTTGCGCGTTAATCGCTAAAAAGAACCCCTTTATCGTATCTTCTCTGTTTCAAGGCACTCCTCTTTTTGTCTCAGCCAGTATCGGAATCCTCGGCGACGACATATCGAGTGACGTGTAGTTTCGTGGTCACTTGGAAGAGAAGGCCAAATTGGCCTCTAAAAAGCTTGGCGTGCTCAGCAGAGCGGGACAATATTTAATGCCGGCTCACCGCCTGCAACTTTACAAGGCGCAGGTTCGGCCGCACATGGAATACTGTTCCCATCTCTGGGCTGGGGCTCCCCAGTACCAGCTCATTCCACTTGACCGCATCCAGCGCAGAGCGGCTCGAATCGTCAACGACCGTGTGTTTTCCGATCGGCTCGAATCGCTGGCGCTGCCAAGAGATGTTGCATCTCTTTGCATTTTCTTTTGCATATACCACGGGAAGTGCTCTGAGGAATTGTTCGGATTAATCCCAGCCACCAAATTTCGTGAACGCACTACGCGGCAAATGTCCCGATACCATCCTTACCACCTGGATGCACCTGGATGCTTGGCGGTCCACCACTGTACGTTTCAAAAGGAGTTTTCTTCCGCGTACAACCTCTCTGTGGAGTAGTTTAATTTCTCTCTGTAAAAGAGCTTACTCCTTTCTAAAGGGCCGGCAACGCACCTGCAATTCCCCTGGTGTTGCGGTTGATGATTAACATCAGGTGAGCCGCATGCTCGTTTGCCCCCTCTTCTAAAAAAAAAAGTTATATTGTGATTAAGCTTTATCTAGTAATTCCTGAAGGTCATTTTCTAAACTGCAAGGAATTAACTGGAAGATTAATTCTTCCATTGTCTTGTTACATTTGCCCTTTGAGCAACAACTCTTCAAAATGCCAGTTTTTATGTGCTGACACCGTATGAGGCCGCGGCGGTGGCATGTCGGTCAGCAATGATTTTTATTTAGTTGCACGTAATTTTGAATCTGTAATATCGTCTATGTTAAATATTCATTTAAATTATATAATTAAAAAAAAAATTACATCAAATGGCCAAGTTAAATAACATATTTATATAGACACTTAAAAAATGTTGAACGTTCTCTAATATTCAACATTTTATTCCTTCCTTAAGGGTATTACCCTTAACTTGGCAGAATGCATCAGTAGACACACTGCTCTTTAAAAAAATATCGTAGGATAACTAAACAAATTTTGACATAGATTTTCTTGTATTATGCTAGTCTATGAACAATAATATTTACAGTGCTGCATGGATCTTTTGACACGTGGCTATAATCGGAACTAAACGCCGTCATTGCCGCCATCTTGTAAAACGTCAGTTTAGACAGCCGGCTCAAGTCGTTGTTGTATACCGTTATTTATTGCTTTTAGTGCCGTTTATAAATCTCAAAATATGCTGAAATTGATAAGAAGTGGTACTAGAGAGGTGGTGCTAAATGTGAAGAGATTTTTTTATGAAGAAAAAGCAATCTAGACTCCCTGTTATTCCATTTGAAAGAGTAAATGAGCGCGTTGCAGCTGCTACAGGTAAGTGATGCCATACATAGTATCCTTAGTTTGCTCGTTTTATTTACCAAGGATAGTGGTCATATTTTGTAGGCATATTATGAGATATATTTTCTCCTTCAAATTGATAAAAATAAATACGATTTCAGGTATATCTTTACGAACAGTTGCAAGAATTACAAATGAAGGGAAATTAGCTGAAGAATCGTCAAGTAAAATAGTAACACCGGGGAAAAAAGAAAAACAAGGAAGGATACAATTGTTATGGAAAATTTTGATATTGGTGTTCTTAGACGAAAGATCCATGAGTTTTATTATTGTAAAAAAGAAATACCAACAGTGAATAAGTTACTTCGTCTACTTAAAGAAGTGATTGGGTTCACTGGCAGTAGAGGAATTCTCAGAAAGCACATAAAAAAGATTGGTTTTCGATATAAAAAAGCTAAAAGCAATAGAAAAGTACTGATGGAACTTAACGATATAACTGCTTGGCGCGCTCTTTATCTTCAGGTGGGTACATTTATTTTCTATTCATAATGTATTTTAAATTAAAGTGACACACTTATTCATGAGTAACATAGAATTATTTTATTTCAGACTATAAAGCGTAATGACGAGACAGAAAAATTACCAGTTGTTTACTTAGATGAGACATATATTCACTCCGGTCATACAGCTGGTAAATGTTGGCAGGATGATGATGAAGGTATTGTTTAGTTAACTATCTCATAATATTTATAGTCTAGTTAAGTAGTAATAGTAGTAGTAGTGTTATTTGCATTTGTTAATGTACAAACGATTGATTTCAGATGGAGTATTAGAGCCTGTCTCCAAAGGACAAAGATTTATTATTGTCCATGCCGGAGGTAATGAAGGTTTTGTAGAGAATGCATGTTTGGCGTTCAAGTCACAAACAAAAAGTGGTGATTACCATGATGATATGAATCACACAAATTTTAAAAAATGGGTTGCAGAAAAGTTAGCTCCCAATTTGACAAAACCCAGTTTAATTATAATGGACAACGCTCCATATCACAACACACGCATCAACAAACCCCCAAACACAACTACCAGAAAACCAGAAATAATTGAGTGGTTACAAAATAACAATATTGAATATTCAGAAGGTATTCTTCTAAGACCACAATTGTTGGCAATTGTCAATAGATATAAGCCCGAACCAGTGTATGCTGTTGATGCTATTTTAAAAGGACTGGGTCACAAGGTAATCATGACTTAAATACTAAATCTACTAGTAAATTGACTTCATAAATTTGTGACCTCAATCCTATTGAAATGATCTGGGCATCAATGAAACGCAAAGTAGCTGAGGTAAATATTGGCAACCCAGCCAATCAAATGCCATAAATGGTACAGGAAGCTTTTAATTTCATTCCCGTCGAAGAATGGTGCAATCATTGTGTCCACGTCAAGAAACTTGAAGAAGAATCCAGAAGTAAAGTTGGATATTTGGATGCACCTTTCATCGTTTCATGCTCTGAGAGTGAAGAAAGCAGTGATGATGATTCTCAAGATGAAAGTGATGAAGAATTTAATAGCATTGAACCTCTCGCCATAGTTCATGCAGAACATAATTGTAGTAAAAAAATTTGAAATATTGTTTTTTATTTCGTTTACTATTGCATTGTAGTTTTCATGTTATAAATTCTGTCATCCAGATATTTCCTTCTTTTAATTTATACTACTAAGGTAGCAACTAAGCATAATGCCTTCCTTATGGTAAGCCTGAGCCTGCAAAACCCATTTTACAACCTAGTTATATAATCCAACTAGCTTTCGCCATAACATCATTCCCAACGTGTATGCAAAATTTCATGATGATCGGTTCAGTAGATAGGGCTTGAAAGCGTAACAAACAAACAAGCAAACTCACTTTCGCATTTATAATATTAGTTGGGATACTGCCAAGCCCCATACTCCATAATTAAGACGAATTCCATAAAACAAAGGATTTTTTTTAGCTGGTAACCGTTAGTGAACACCCACGCCCTCATGTCAATGTCATGCAAGTGGCAAATGATCCTTGTGGGACTATACATAACATTATAGAATAATATCATTTATAGTTTTACTGCACTGAACTGTCAGTAGCTTGTGGTAGCCACAGACCCACAGAATACATTTCTGTATATATTACTCTACTCTATGGAATACATTTACCCTGGTGGCTGGTAGTAGCTTGTTTCGGAACGCATCTACCGAACGGTTATGCAAAAAAAATATAGCGGCCGCCATCTTGAAAGCGTAATTGTTGTCATGTTCACGTTGTGTGAGAAAGGCGATTTTTATAATTCATTTTATATTATTTAGGTATAATCCTATTCAATAAGCTTTTTTGTGTACGGATATTGTGTAGATAACTTTTTACCAAATATTAACTTACCTGAATTAAAGTGTCTACGTATACGTCTTGTTCTGTTACTTTACAGAATAGGCGCCAAATTGTTCAGTCACTAACGATTTTATTCTTTTTATGAATTTAAAGTAAATAAAACATAACAATGAAAATTTACTACTGCATTATTTTTAATTGATGTTGCAATGTTTTTTCAGGGTGACGTTAATGTAACGGATTAGATCCTGTGATATATAAAAATGTTTTATGCACACTTTGTGCTGGCCAAAAAGGGCCCTTTGGCCAAGATTTGGCTGGCCGCACACTGGGACAAAAAATTAACAAAAGCTCATGTTTTTGAAACGAATATTGAGAAGTCGGTTGATGGAATACTTAAACCCAAGGTGAAAATGGCTTTACGAACTTCAGGCCATCTGTTGCTTGGTGTAGTGAGGATCTATTCAAGGAAAGCGAAGTATTTACTCCAAGATTGTAATGAGGCTTTTGTTAAGATTAAGGTAAGATTGTTTTAGTATGATTGCAAATATCATCTGATCTGATCCAAAGAATTCCTTATAAACATTTACAAAATCATAATTATAAAACTTTTTAAATTCCTACAGCTATATTGTGGTTATAGCATGAATGGGCTCGACTAGAGAAGGACCATGCTGTCACAGAATACCATCATAAAATAACAGCTTTATGCTGCTGTGTTTCGTATGGTGAATGTTGACAACCAGAGACCTTTTTAACTGGCACGAGGTATTTCATCTTAATCCTCAGGGGTGACAACACATCTGCATTTTCATTTTGAGTGGGGATGGATGTAGATGTCCATGTCCACATACGTAGATTGGCCACAGCATTCACTTACCATCAAGTAGACTGTGTGTGTGCATTTGTCTGTAAAAAAATTTGGATTCATTAACTAGAATACAATTGATCTAAAAAGTGACTGTATAATGTTTATATCATACAATATAATAATAATTTATTTGACTCTCAATTGACAGGTTACACTTATGTATTATATCCATTTTAAATTACAAAATTAAGTTGGCGTTAACGGCCATACTATTATAAAATGTGTTACAGCCTTCAGTGTCTTCCACCATTTAGGTAGGGCATAAATATTATTCATAGATGCAAAATAACTAGTTTATGCAGAAAAACTAAAAAATACAGGCCTTGATCAGGTAGAGATGAGAAACCAATTAATAGAAATCAGGGTGAGAGTTCAATTTTTTCGGACCGATATGACTTAGCGACCTTCAAGAAAAGAGCCTACTGCTTTTTAAAAGGCCGGCAACACATCTGCAATTACCCTGGTGATGCAGTTGTATCATGGGCGATGGTAATCACTTACCATCAGGTGAGCCGTATGCTCTTTTGCTCCCTCTCCTATAAAAAAAATTTCACTGCTAATTTTTAACAAAATTAAGAATTAAACATCAAGATCGGAATGTGAGATAAGAATGTTGTTGTATATTTTATTAATAGTGCCAGTGTGAGGTATCATACTTTTGCCTTAAAGATTTACGAGTTTTGAGGAAGGTTGTTTGTATATCCCATGATATGATTGAGATTTTATAAAGTACCTCATTCGCAAATGAAATATATACTGATGTGGTCATTATTTATTACCATGTTCCGAAGGAGAGGTGATCTAAAACGTTCTAACAGGTACCCTTTCACTAGTAGCTTAGTATATTATGCACCATGCAGTATATTAGAGCTGGTTCAACTTGGTCTCTACTGAGTGCAGCTTCTATACTGGAAAAATTTATCTTGTCAAAAGAGCCTTCTATTTATATGAAAAATCCTAGACATTATGGCCTTTTTTTAAAAAGCTTCTTACTACTACTTGGTGAAGTACCTGTTTCTGTTTATTGACTGGAACTTTAACAATGTTGTTTATAATAGACTTGTCACATCATTATTCCCGAGTAGACACCTCAGCTCAAGAAGCAGCTTTAAAGGTGCAAGAATTGCTAATGCAAACCTTAGATTTGCCGTCATTAGAACATTTGTTAAATGTTGTAATTACAGCAAATCTTCCCTAAGAGAGTCTAGACTGGTGGGTTATATTACTACTGATACAGAGTATGAAGTATTGTATATCAGAGGCCTCTTAGCATCTAAATAAACAATTGAGTTTATCTATAACTGAGAATGTTAGAGTTTAAATTTATTATTTTTAGCAACATTAAAGTGAGTAGAAGTAAAATAATTCGTTAGGTACTAATTCTACAAATGGCTCAATAATATTATGGCTAAATGGTTAGTTTGTGTGGTACAAGAGCAAGGCACAAGAGATATTCTATAAATGTGTCACATACTTATATTAATATTCAAATTTTATTATAGTAAACATTTGCAATATTTATATATAAAAATTTATTCTATATTCCACATACAAATAATTGAAACATAGTGAGTAGTAAGTCAGTTAATATTACATTTTCTAAGAACAAAATATAATATGTAAAATATACATTTAATATTGGTGATTTATTAATCCTAACCGATATAAGTTCAGACTAAGTGTAAAATTAATAGGTAGATGCTAGTGTGTAGTATATGTGTGTGTTTATGTATAATTGCGTATATGTGTGTGAAAGGAGTGAGTTTGTGTTGTTATTTTGCTTAACACTGCATTTTACCAATCTATATTTAAAAAAAATTTAGTTTCCTTATAAGATAAAGGCATTAAAAACTTAGAGCTTGCTTACATTTAAAACGTGTTTGCGTATAAATTGTTATAATTTTGCTAATTTTTTTTATAAAGGTAATGTCCCAAAATGTTTATTTGTCTTTGAGCATAGAATGAGTAAAATATCTAGTAGTACAATTTGATCTTTTCTTAATTTTTGAAATAAATTTAAGTTACAGTTATTGTACTTATGTGTTTTAAGTACAGATTTTAAAATAAATAGCTATTCAGAGAACAAATTACTTGTGGGAAACTTTAAAGTTTAGAAAGCATAACTTTGAGCACAGCTCTTTGAGATCTTTCAATGCGCAAAATATAAGTTTTGTAAGTACCTCCCCAAGCAGTAAGACATTATTATTTACAAAAATTTATTATAATTATTATTTTACAGTAATTGCTTAGGCTTGAGGTGGACTGAAAAGTATAACTGAAGTAAATAAATTAAGGATCCACATTCAGTGAGATTGTGCAGAGATGTTTTGATTATTATAAAGGCGAGCCTCAACATTTTTGACTAGTAAGGGCTGTTGCTTTGAGCAAAACTGACCAAAATAAAATAAGTTATTCATACTGTCTCAGGGCTCTAAGAGCATAGAGTAGCATTAAAAAAATATGATCTATACATATAGTTGTTGTGTCAATCAAGATGTGAACAATGTTAAGTACATTACCTTTAGTTTATTTAAATTTTAGTTCATATAATTATAATTTGTATTCTAGATGGCCTTCAGGCCTGGTATGGTGGATTTGCCTGAAGAACATAGAGAGGCTGCTATGAATGCCATTACATTGCCAGAGGTCTTTCATGACTTTGACACAGCTATGCCTGAACTCAAGTAAGTTCATTATAGATTTATTTTATTTTATGTTCATTTAAAGTTGAGTTTAAGAAATTTGGTCAATCTAATAGAGGGTATGTGGCATGTAGCTTATCAAAGAAATTAATTATCAAGTTTTCTAGTTAACACATGTTTTCTAAAACTGTGTTAGTAGTTAGTAGAAAACTCTATAAACTACATACAGTGTTCTCTAAATAATTCTGAAAAAGTAAAACTGACATACAATACTTACATATTGTAGTAAGTATTCTCAAACAACGGCTTTTTTGACCCAGTAAGTTAGTTAAGTAAGGATGGCCAAATTTCTATAGGAGCTGGACTTGACTTTTTTTTCATGTCCCGGAACAAACTATAGTTAGATTGGTTTGATTTTATGTTGTAAACACCATCATGTTTAAAAATAATATCTAAATAGCCACGATTTTTTATACTAACGTCAACAATATTTTTAAGGCAGAATCAACAAATACCTTTTACTTCTTTTTTGTTTATTGGCCATTTCGTAAAATATAACATTGGTATGTCAAAATTACAATCAATTCAAATGATATAAGATTACATTAGATTATTAAAATTACAAATTAAAATACATACACATATTTACATTATTTTACATGTCAAGCAAGTTAGAAAATAAACATTTCATAATTCTTCTATATTATAGAAAGCGTGATTCAAAAAGTATGTTTTTGTCACTTGCCGAAACGGGTATTAAACCCGGAAAGGCTTGTTATTTCTAAAGGTAATTTATTGTACATTTTGATTTTTTATGAAAAACCTTGCTTGGACGCTTTATCCGACTGCGACGCCTAAAAGTATAGTTGGCGATAAGTGAGGAGGGTAATTAGCGATCTCGTTTCCATTTTAGATTTCACTAAAATAATTTTATTACCCAATAATAGAACATCTCTCAAAGCGCACCCTAGGGCCGTCTGTCAAACCGTCACGTGAAGTTGACCATTTCGACGACAGATTATGACCGATAATTCAATAAAAACTACACCTACATATATTCCACTAGCTTGCACAGTATGTAGTGTAAAAAACAGGGATGGCGCAATTATTATCACACGTGAAGTTGTCTGAAATATTTCAAGGCTTTTTTGTAGTTTGACCCCTTCAATTCTAGCTAAAGAGTTAGTCGCTAGATACCTACTGTCTTCCAGTCTTCAATACTAAAGTTGCATATGTATTGAAAAATTGAGTAATGGTAGGTCACGGGAGTAAATGAAGAGTAATGTTAGAATTTAGGAGTACTTTAATGAAATAAGTAGGCTAGACAAAATTACTTTTTATTCATCATCCTCTTACAACTACAACATCAAGGAGCGATGCTGGCACTGGCGATATTGTCGGCTGATGCCTGGTCCACCCAAGATACCACATAAGCGTCATGTGCACATCACCCAACTGTCCTTCGATTTGATACCCTCTGTGAAACCTGACATGTTCACTATAATAGGAACTTGCCTGTTGAATCTGATATGTTCCTAGGGCAAATAATATAACTTCATACACGCAATGCACAGCTTAAAGTATGTTGCAGCGTTTGCTAAATAAAAATGTGTGGTGGAACCATGCAACAACTATTTATCACCCAATCTCAAAGTTCACCCTATATCTGTCCTATAAATCCCAAACATCATATGTATATCACTGCATTTATTATTATAAAAATCGTCGGCATTTTATAAGTCCTTTCTTAAAAATAACACAGCAGACAGGTGCAGTGCGGGCCCTTTGTTTATTTATTAGCAAGTATAAATCTCGTCTATACTGCGGCAATTTAATCATCCTAGGTACTTCATCATCTTGCTGGTCAGTATTTGAAGGGCTTTGAGGTTCTTGGGGTTGGAACTTTGGCTCCTGCTTCAGCTCTGTCTGCTGCTCAATGTTTTGCTGCATATTATGTTTTGCAACTCTCAAGTCTCAGCCAACAGGGATGACAAACATGGTCTATTGAAGTTGCCTGAAACAACCATACAGCCTTGTCTTAATATACATAAATGTTTTGGCTCATTATTATTAAACCCGAGCAAATAGAAACATTTTTACAAAACAATATAAAATGGCAGTGATAAATTCACTATAACATTGATACCAAGACATAACAAAAAAAGATACAAGCTCTGCATGTATTAACACAAAGAAAGAATTTTAACGTAGATAATGTTTACTGACGACACAATCTATTTATTCAATTAATATTTGTACAGATCACTTAATATTACAGATTTTGTATTCACGACACTTAATTACACTGAGACTAACTCGTGTTATCAGAACAGAACCTCTTATAATCGCGATGCACCCTATTTTATAACATTTCCCTTCCCACTTCTCTTAGGTTGCTCACGAAGAGGGGCGGACCGGTGTTGCCAGTAGTAAAGTTGCCAACACATATATTGCTTGTTGCAACTGAGGTGGATTCTCTCTCACAATAAGGTCACTTTTACGATTCCTCAGGGAACTTCCACAAAGTATGCAAACATGCTTGTGGCCACGGGAAGATGAGGCACCAGGTTCAATAGGTAACCCGGAGTTGTCATTCTGTATTGCCAATTGCTGACAAGCATCACATACGTAATCTTCTTCAGTGATCTAAAATAAGAATTAGAGTTGTATGATTGATTAGAGTTGTATTATGATGTATTATGTTAGTGTAATAAAATAAATAGGTATGTAAACACGTACTATTATGGAAGAATTCCACTCGCAGATCTTAGAAATTACTCTGGTATCAAGCTCAAAAACGAGATGGCCGCGTAGTGTATCACCTAGTTGTCTTTGTTGTGTTTGCATGATGTTTCTGACAATTATCCAAGATGTGAAAAAATCAGTCCGTAAAACAATACCGAGGTCAAAACAACAGAAGGAAATAAGACAATTAAGTAATTGAACAAAACGTTTAGCTTACTATGACCTACATAATTATTTTTATGACAAGAATCCAGTACATAATAAATCAGCATAGTAGTTGATTTGATGTCTACATACTAATTTAATTGAATTAAAATTAACAACTGTTCATAAAAACGCGAATAATTGGTCTTTGAATACCAAGTCTTCATACACGAAATGGGTCATTAGGTGCGTTCTGAAACCATTATTCGAAATAATTTTGAACAGTTACAAAAACAGAAATAAATGGATAACTTTTTTTGTGGCTATTTAGAGAGGTATTTCTTTTGTGTTTTAAGGCCTTAAACAATAAGGGTATTTTACGTAAATATTTCATATTGGGATGTTATTGTTTCGTTGTCTGGTATGATTTGGCCATCCTCCTTTAATAATTTAATTCACACATTACAAATACTTTTTACTGATGGCTTATAGTTATTAAATACCACTACTTTTTTCCCTGTTGTTTAGTGAAGTGGATATTGAGGCACAGTTCTCATTGAACCAATCAAGAGCTGAAGAGATAACAATGAGGGAGGATTATGGTTCCCTAAACCTGGTCACACATGATGATGGCTTTGGTGACATGGGGTTTGACACTGAACATCCCGATATAATGAGAGAAGCTATTGGCACTGAAGGGGCTTTGGAGCAGGTAAATTTTTCTCTTATTTTTTTAAAACATAACCATAATAAATTATCTAGCATCACCACCAAAGGTGCCTGCCAGGAGTGTTGGTTAAGCCATTTCTTCCACAACATAATAAGGGATGACTTAATACAAAAGTTGTTGGAAAATAGATGTATGCTAGCATGCATGAGTTCATCCGTCCATGTGTGTGTATGTGTGTGATTGTCTGTTAATGTGTCTATGAGACAAGAGACTTTAAGTCTAAAATAATTAAGGGTATCTCGATATCTATTCTATGGCTTCTGTGCACCAATTATAATGTTCTTTTAATTTTTAGAGTAACCTGCTGTTTGCGGAGGGGTCTTCATTGGAGTTGACTGGCAAGGAGGCGGGGCCCAGCGAGCCGCGCGAAGCACCGCGTCTTGAAGCCGCGCCGCAGCACATGGACGATGGCTTCGGCGCCACTATCGCTGAAGTTCCCGACTTCGGACGTTAGTGCGGTTCTGATTCCTTTAAAATTTATAATACTATAAAACGTAAAAGATGATGGTAAAACGTGCATTTGTGTGGTGTATGTGCAAAACTGCCTAAGCTAAATTCTAAAAATTGTTTTGTAGGTGCAAGAGTTACTTTTTTATCTAGGGTCTAGGATTTCATCTGGCTCACTTATTTCTGTTACTTGCACCAGCCACTGCACTCCTGTGTAAAGAGGTGATATGACTATGGTATGATTGTAGTAGTTACAGATTTATTTTATTATTATACAAGTCATAGTGACAAATTAGTACTCAGTTCACCTAATGGTAAATCGATGCTGTGGCCTACAGACACCTACATTTATTTTCGATTAAGAATCAAAATGCATATGAGTTACTTAGTGAATAAGGAAGTCTCTGGCTGTTATGTTGCTCTACCACGTAAAAATAAAAGATGTGAGGCATTTCATCTTAGTCCTTACTTACTTCATGGGTTACTTTGCACCTGTCGCCCAAAAATTCGATAATAATCTTAAATTCTCCCCTCTTAAGCTCTTGCTGCAATTCGAGCTTGTTTTCAGCTATTATATTTATTTGATCAACTTTTATTGACCAAAAATCGTGTTCTGAAGTCTTTTTGTATTTGTACAAGTGCCTCTGGTACTTTCTTAGCTTTCCTCCAATTTTGTCATATTGATGTTACATTTGACTTATGTAGAACTGCCGCGTATTTTTGGTACACAAGCAAGCAATGTAATTTGTAAGGCTTCCCATGATTGAAGTTGCTGTGATCAAAGACATGCCTCATGAAAAAATTGCATTGTTATAGGTATTTAACGTTATTCACAGATGCGGGAGGTTTGTTCGAAGGCGATCTGTTCGGTGACGTGACGGCGGGCACTTCAGCGGCCGCGGCGGCGGGTCTGCCGGGCACCACCACTCAGCCGCAGTCCTTACAGGTACAATAATGTTCTATAAACTTTCTTAACTATTTCTTAAATGCTATTTGTAACTGTATGACATACTGGATACCGGAAAATTTTGTCGATTTTTGTAGTGTGCAGAAATGTTCTCAATTATTTCTATACAATGGTTTAAAAATATTGAATCATAAGTATACCTTGTGAAATATCAGTGAAAAACTTGGTAGAGAGAGTAAATGTTCCTTCAAATTTAATTGTTACAAAACTGTACCAGTTTTTGGAGTTTATGACACCAAAAGTGGATGTGTTGGAATGACATCTGTATATTAGACAGATGGAAGAAGGTAGTAGAAAACCAGGCACAATATTTAATTGACTTACCTTTAGAACTAATCACATAGTATAAAATTCTTAGTAAGATTGATTTACAAAAATTGACATAACTTTCTGGTAGTTGCAATACTTTTTTTTGTTGTAAAATTTTCTGTTTTTGAGTCCAATAGGGTCAGTCACCCTCTTATATCTGTCGTCAACAACAGGGCATTAACTGTAACGTTGATGCGAATCCAGATAGCATTTTTTTTTTGTAGAAGAGAGGGCATACAAGCATGCGGCTCACCTGATGTTAAGTGACTACCGCCGTCTATAATCAACCGCAAAACCAGGGGATTTGCACGTGCGTTGCCGGCACTTTAGAAAGGAGTAAGCTCTTTTCTTGAAGGTCCCCAGGTCGTAACGGTCCGGAAAAATCGCCGGTGGTAAACTATTCCACAGAGAGGTCGTACGCGGAAAAAACTCCTTGTGAAACATACAGTGGTGGACCGCCAAACATCCAGATGGTGTGGATGGTATCGGGACGTGGTGACGGGAGAGATGCAACATCTCTTTGCAGCGCCAGTGAATCGAGCCGATCGGAAAGCACTCGGTCGTCGACGATTCGAGCCGCTCTGCGCTGGATGCGGTCAAGTGGAAGGAGCTGGTACTGGGAAGCTCCAGGCCAGAGATCTGAACAGTATTCCATGTACGACCGTACCTGCGCCTTGTAAAGTTGCAGGCGGTGTGCCGGCATGGAATACTGTTCCGCTCTGCTGAGCACGCAAAACTTTTTAGAGGCCAATTTGGCCTTCTCTTCCAAGTGACCACGAAACTGCACGTCACTCGATATGTCGACGCCGAGGATTCTGATACTGGCTGAGGCAACAAGGGGAGTGCCTTGAAACTGAGGAGATACGACAAAGGGGTTCTTTTTAGCGGTTAACGCACAAACTTGTGTCTTCTGAGGGTTAAACTGGACTAGATTTATTCGCCCCCAATCCGAGACTGACTGTTCAGCAAAGACTCGACTTCAGACACAAGTTTGTCTCGGTACTCGAAGACGTTTTCCCGAGAAATATTGGCACGGCCGGTGAGAGCATCACCAGTGCATCACGTAGTTGGACGGGTCTGAGCGGTCGCCTTTTTTTAGGGATCGGGCGGACGAAAGCAGTCTTCCATGATTTTGGGACTATGCCTAGGGAGTAGGAGTACCGGAAATGACGCGTTAAAACCGGTGCCAACTCAGGAGCACACATCCTCAGCACAATTGGGGGGATTTCGTCAGGCCCACTCGACTTGTGGATGTCCAGGCAGAGGAGTGCTTTGCGAACCGAGTGCTGTGTGAACTGCATTTCCGGCATGGAGCACTCACACCGCGGGATAGTCGGCGGCGTACTCCCCCGTCATCGAGAGTCCAGTTGTACGCAAAGAAAGAGCCTAGCAGATCGGCTTTCTCCTTTGCCATTTTTTTTGCCATGGGCCAGTGAGTCATCCTCCCTGTGCAGAGATGGAAGAGATGGCTGACAGAAATTCCCCTGGACAGCCTTGGCAAGAGACCAGAATGCACGGGTTCCACAAGGAAGGCGAACTAGTTTCTCGCCAATTCTGCCTATGTGTTTTGACTTTGCCCTGACAATGACTTTTGAAGGACCTGGAGGCGGAATTTTCTTTTTTAGAGCGCTGTTGTTTACATCTCGGGACGTTGATGCGTCAGTCCAAGCTTAGTAGAACTCCTACTGAGCGACCAAACCATGGCTGAGATTTGCATCCGATGGGCACCACAGAGGATGGAATAAAAAGTTCCATACCCTGAAATACCACATCAGCGACAGAATCCGCAACAACGTTGGGATCGTCCGGCGAGAAGCAAACCCGCCCCCAAGGGTAGTATGCAAAGAAAGACCGTATCCTATCTCAATCGGCTGAGCTATAGTGCCTAACACGGTGGCAGCCTGCAGAATGCAACTGCGATTTCGGCGTGAGTGGCACCACACTTCGACAAGACAATGGTCCGAGGAGCCTAAAGGAGCATCGACGGAAATCTGATATTCCGTCCGGGTGAGAGGTCAGCAGAAGGTCCAACAGGGAAGGTGCATGATCCTCCACATCTGGAATTCGCGTAGGCGAAGTAACCAGTTGTTTCAGACTATATGCCAAGACAAAATCATGCACAGATCTCCCCGTATGATTAGTTAAACGTGAACCAAGCCATTCGGCGTGATGGGCGTAAAACCGCTGAGGATCACGATCTCTGCGGAGGGGATCTGCTGTAGCAACGAATCTGTAGCCATTTGTACGTGGTCGAAGAGTCTTTCTGTTTCCGCATTACCGCTATTGGACCTATAAAGACACCCGTAAACGCGCGGATGGTCGTCGCTGTTTACGCGTAGCCAAATGATGGAGAGGTCCGAAACTTCAAGACTGCCGAGGCGTCGAGAACATATGTACTCTCTGACGTAAATGCAAACTCCAGCCCGAGGCACAAAGGAGTGTTCCAGTTTGTACCCCGGGTAGGAGAGATACGAGACATCAGCCGGAGAGAACACCAGCGTCTCGGTCAGAAAGAGCAGAGCCGGCTTCGCCGTCTCGAGATGGTAGTGGACGGCGTTTAGGTTAGAGTTAAGTCCCCTGATATTGCAGAAATTTACGGATGGTTTGGCAGAGGTCGCCTTGGTCTTGTTGCTCCTTTTGCCCCGGCAGCCTGAGCATTCACGCTCAGGAGTGGAGGAACTTGGTCGTGGATGCTCAGCGAGGGATTCTCCAGGGGTGCTGGTACCCTCCTGGGATTAATGGGGGGGGGGGGGGTTGGGCCTCCGGCCACCTGCGTTCACCAGACGAAACGCGGAAGCAGAGCTTCCACTTCACGCCGGTGTTCTGTGAGGTCGTGGTACCACCGCGGTTTGAGCCGGCCCATACGTGAACAGCAAAGCTGCCGCGTGGCTCTACCACCGTTAAATAGCATAATATATTCTGCTATATTCAATATAAATTTTACTTAATTGTATATTTTTTTAGTTAGTTATTAAATATATATACTTAGGTTTCATGAAGTTGTCTGTAAAATATGAAAATGTTAACATGCATGACAATAACTGGTAATTAAGTTATTTAAAACAAAATCTGAATGTTAATTATCTTTAAAGTTTATGTCTTCAATAGTATTTGTTAGTCAATCACCCATTTGATTAGTCAGCTAAAGTGGCAAGTGGACTGGAAAAAGTTTTTTGAGAGCATCGTTTCATAGTAGAATCATCTCATCGTTTCATAGTAGAAAGTGGAGGTCCCCATTATATGGTGAGACAATTTGCTTCAGACAAATTGAGGCAAATGGCTCACTAGTGGACTTGAATAATTGTAACATGGTATAAAGAATTTATATTTATAACCATTTATTCATAGTTTTAACCTCAGACCGAAAAATAAATATAAACTTGTTGATTGCTGTTTTTAGGCTGAGATAGAAGCGGCAGGAGAACGAGCTGCTGAGGCTGAAGCTGCGGCCGGCGAAGCGCACGATTCTGACGAGGAAATGGGTGACCACTATGACGCCGGGGCTTCGCCGCCGCACAGGTAACACTTACTTCCATAGACTACGTATGTTTTTTTAAAGAAAATTCTTACACAGAAAATTCGTACAGGAAAAACATTCCTGAAAAGAAACTCAGTTTCGGGGATATTATTATTTTTTTACTTCAAAAAGAATGCCTACTTCTTTTCTACTAACTTTAAAAAAAAAGAGGAGGTTCTCAATCCTTCCCAAATATTTCTTATAGTAATTTCAACAATAATTGTTGTTAAATGTCTTAGGGGTGGTCCCATATAAATTTAGTCAAGATTTGATGAAGTGATCCAGGAAAAAAATATTGAACTCTTCAATTTGGAAAAAAAAATGATTATTATTCTTTTTGTTATTTAAAGGAGGTTTTTACCTTTTTAAAAGCGTCCTCTATTTTTGCGAATGTTCACGGGCGACGGTAGTCATAGACTAGACTAACCGTTAGCCCCTTTTTGTTCTATAAAAAAGTTATGTTTGTGTTGCAGCTGGGGCGGGTCGCCGGTGCAGGCGCAGGGCGCGGGCGCGCTGGAGGCGGGCGCCGAGCTCATGCCGCCGCCCGCCGCGCCGCGCCCGCCCTCCACCAGGCCCATGGTAACTACACCTGCACATACACTCGCTAATACTTCTTGCCTGTCAGGAGAACTAACATAAATTGCAACTTGATACGTACTCAACTGCACACGGTGTATTCTAATGATGACCATACAACGCTCAGACAATCTGTTTTCGAGGTGGATTTAAAAATAACATATTTAAAATTTAACCTTATTTTTAATTTTATACATCTGTAAATGCGAATTTTCTGAGGCTCACGTCCGCAGATGCTAACCTCGAGTGTTTATAAGATATAACTAATTTAACAACATGAATTAATAAAGACAAAACATACAATCAACATTCATTCAATACGACCTATCAAAAGTCCACTGTTGTACACTTTTATGGCGGAGACTATCCCCCATAAAATGCCCTCGTTTGCAGTCGTATTGACAACCGTTATTTTTTAAAATATGGAGTTATTTTCAAAAACTCGCATCATTTCATGTCCTATTTCATTTCCCTCTTTCACCTCTTCTATACTAACAAGATAATATAAGCTAGAAGATTCTCCAACGCTGCCGCTACACAATAAAAAATACGGTATATTTATGAAGATGCTCAAAATATCACATTATGATTGAAAATAAAAAAAACCACTTCACCTGCATTGAATTATCTTAGTTGAAAAGGAAACCTTTTTTTTTTTCAGGAAGTAGATGAACCTGAAATAGCTGCTGAGGCGGTAGCAAGACCAATAACTCCCGCACCAGCTTTGGACTCCACCACTTTGCTACAAAATGACGAGGAATCCTTCGCACTAGCGCCCGTGGACGCCACAGTTCTTAAAGGTACCTCACTCTACCATTGAAATTTTTATCACTATTATATAACTGTCTTCATGACTAGGGCTACATTTGCTTATAATAAAACATAGCTTACCGAATGGTTAGTCATCATGTTCATAGATAACTGCGACTTTTATGAGGCATAAGAAACAGAAATTTTTTTATTCAATACTAGCTGTTCCCCGCACCTTCTCTCGCGTTTAATGTAGGGTTTTCATTTTTTTTTTGTGTGGAACCCTTATTACTTTTCTAAACTAAAGCCTAAGTTACTCTTTATAACATCAGCTATCTGCCAGTGAAAGTCCCATCAAAATCGGTCTGGCCGTTTCAGAGATTAGCCAGAATGAACAGACAAAAATTCTAAAAATTGTGTTTATTATATATATATATAAATTATAAGTACCCTCGATACTTTTATATGTATTTAGTAAAAAGCTGTTATTTTGACATTAAAAACCGACATTTCAGTTTTATTTATTTGTATAGATTGATTATAAATAATACTTGTTGAAAGTCACTTTTTTAATTTATCATAAAGATATTAATTTACCCTTGAATAGTAAATAAGTTGGTGGTCCCGATCACTACCTTTGAGTCTCCACAAAACAAATATGTAGTAATTAAGACTAATCAGTCAATTATATAATCAAAATATTATAAAAAGTTATTAATAAATATTTTTAAAATATAGAAATAATTATTTTAGTAGGAGCTATTCTCTTTCATTGCATTTATTTGTTAAATTGACCATGACTACTTTTTTATAAGGCGTCACAAAAACAAAGCGAAAGCGCAAGCTGATCGTGGATGAAGTAAAGAACATATCTGGTGAAGAAATGAAGAATCAACTCAGTAACACTTCAGACATTGTCACTACTTTGGACCTTGCTCCGCCTACTAAAAGACTGATGCATTGGAAGGAAACTGGTGGTGTAGAGAAATTGTTCTCCTTACCTGCCAGGCCTATACCATCACAAGTATTGTTTAAGGTAAAATAAATGAAAATTATATTCTAGTATTAATGGAACCTTTATAAACTTTATAGATTTTGAAGTAAACTTGTTATACTTTATAATTTTTCGATCAACAAAATACATCTTTAGCCGATTATATTGTTAGGTATGAGATGAGTAAAAATGCCGATTAGGATGAAAAATGTATGTTATCTTTCACACAGAATGTGTACAATCACGTCCTCAAGCTCCTTATAATTTGCAGATGTACGTCGAATGCTCCTAATCGATTCCCAGTGATTCAAAATAATTATATACTCCGATCGCCGGCGCACGTTTTTATACCCAATAATGATATTCTAGATCAATTCGGTTCATTCAAACATTTCTCTATTTCAATGCGAAAGTACTAGAATGACAGAAATAATAATAAGACAATATAAATGAATTAGCGCTCGATTACTTCCAAAACCGATATTGCCACATTTTAACACATACGCATTAAGCGACCGATGCCTGCAGCCGTATTATAAACATACGCAATGAACAATGATATCTAATGTTTCACATTACATTGCTTGGCGAGTTTGTCAACGTCGCGTATTACGATAGAACAAAAGCAGCAATGGTAATTGTACTATACGAAAAGTAATAAATGAAAGTCTACGAAGGTGTATACTATACTAGATGTAAATTAGTTGAAACACTGATAATTAGTAAATAATCGTCTTATGGATGAAATGTTATGCCTTTATTAGTTGAATTACATGTCCTTGATGAGTTTTTACTACTGATTATGCTGCAGTTCACCATTATAATAACATGAATTCCTCGCGCAACTAGATCATCACGATTTACAATATTATGTTCAAAAAAAATGTTTTTTTTTTTTAGGTTTGGGCATTGTCTATTCTTACGCCCACACATTTTAACAGCAACACTAAGATCTGGAACATAATTAATTTAAGCCATGTCGTGAATGCTTGGCGACTGCATTATCGAGGCGTCTTTCTGGCTAATACAGGGTTATATCTTTGCTACTGCTTCATTATATCTTAATAAACAATATATACTTAATAAAGAACATAAAATAAAACTGGAAAGGCTTGACAGCAAATAATACAATTATATTAAGAGGTAGAACTCCTTTTCTGCCTACGGTTCGGTTGGGTATAATTCGCGGCACGTAAGTCTAGCGCTGAACGATGCGTGGAGGAGATAGCTGCGTATGTCGTATTAGTACGGGGGACGGAATGCAACTGGAAAGGCAATCAGCGCATGCGAACGATACTCACGCCCGCCCCGCGACCCGCTTACTACCCCATGATAACTTATTTCGACTTATGTGTAATAACGGTCAAAGATAAACTTTCGTGCCGCTACTTATAGGTGCCCTCTTACCTATTTCAGTCTGGACTGGACGATGCTCGAGTGCCCACACAGGCTGTGAGATTTTCCACTGTAGTCCTCTGATGTGGGGATGTATTTGTAGCCATGTTTGTTTTGAAGCTGGCTGCAGTTGTTCATGGGCTGTAGTAGCCATAATGTATCATTTCCGTGTTATAACTAAAAACAATTATAAGAATAAGTATAAAAGCATAGGAAAACACGATGCTAACTGCATGCTTTTTCTGTGAAATTTAACGCATGTATTTCTCGAATTTCAGAAATATCAGCGCAATATGACATTAAGAAGCGAAGCAGAAGAGGTTGAGGCAGCACGCTCGCCAGAGCCCGAACCCACGAGACGAGCGGGTCGGAAACGTCGCCATGAAGAGGTAACCTATCTCTGCCTAATTTTTAGCTGAAATAATGTTGAATTGGCTACCCACAGTATTTCTCCTTTTTTACTGTTTGTTACATGACTGATATTTTACAAAACAGATAGTGTATATACTGTTCCCATTTATAAAATGATGACATTAGCCTTTTTTTTTATAATTCAGTTACTGTCAAGTGTATTAGTCAAATACGTAAAGGCCATGTTAATCCAGAACTTGCGACAAAGTCGCCATCAAACCACTAGGCTACGCGGTATGCTCTGAATAATTTTTATTTAGTGTAAAAAGTGTTACCTTTTACACCAGGAATTTTGCCTGTATCGTGGAGGCAGATTATAAACATTTATTACTGGTACATAAATACTGGTTTCGTGCGGTATACGAATCCGTACGCAGTTCTCGGCGTCGCAATTCTATGTTAAACCACTGCGCCATGAAGCCGTGATCAGTGATACATACTAAGCAATTATAGCGCCGTCAACACCACACACTATATGTTGCTCCACTTCACCATTTATTACAGTTGTTTTGGAACTGTTTGAGTTTGTTGATGATATCCGATATTTTATTTGTACAATTGTTTTACAGTTAATACAGCCTCCAGAAACACCGGCACCACCACCAACGGTAGAAATGGAACCACCCACACCAGTGCCACAAGAATATGAACCATCAGTTGGTGAGTATTTTGAAATATAACCTCATTTAATTTTACCAATAACAGGATTATTTCCTAACTTCACTATGCTTTCATTCATAATTATTGAATTCGCTAAATAATATTATATTTAAAGTTAAAATAACAAATTTTTAAATATTTTCATAATATATCAAATCTTAATAACATATTTTTTAAATATATATATGATAATGATAATCAAAATCATTTTACCTACTAGAAATGTTCTTATAGCGGCAGCAACTAGTCTTTTGATATATTTTTTATTGAGCAAGAAACATTAGTGTCTCAAAAAATATCATATATCCTCATAATTTTTTTTCTAATGCACAATAAATTTTAATAAAAATTTTGTACAAGGTACTTCTAAAAATATGTACAAAATAGTTTTTGTGTGTTTAACAAATATATACATCTATACAATTTAAAAAAAAGAGATAGAATACATTGTACAGTCTTTCGTATTATCTCAGTCTCCTTTTCTGAAGGTTTCTACCGTGTGGAAACTGCACACATGTTTTTTTTTTGTTATATTTTCGTATTTATTAGTAAATTTTATAGAGTGATTATCTAAAACAATTTATGCAAGTGGATATTTTCAAAGAAAACATTTTGCTTGTGGTGCTTTTCAACTATCTGGGTCAATTAGATACAAACAGATACAATCTGTGATTTTGATATCCTTTATATCCTTACGAATAATTATAATTAAGTTAGTCTAGCTTCATAGCTAGTGTCATCACCATGGAATACTATTATACATACATAATAGAACGTGGGAGTGGGCGGAGCCCGCGTAGCCACTAAAATGTTACTAACACGTCAATTCACACGTATAAATGTCAACACGAGATGTGTTTTGACGTTACAATCGTTTCCAAATTTCGCATGCAAATTATTTAGAAAATGCAAGATTGCACGCTGTTTACAAATAAATATGTATTAAAATTTAAACGATTGTTTTAATGATGATCTTGAACATTAATCAAAAGTCTAAAATGTATAAATTTATTCAGTCTGTCAACACAGTGAATTGGGTTTGGCGACGCCAAGCCTCGTACAAAATAAAGTTGACGGTCATTCTATTGTGTATTATAGTATTCTATGGTCATCACTATACATAAGCTGTCTAAGGAACAACCATGTAATTGAATGATAAGGAGGGCTATCTTATAATGGCTTAAATTAAAAAAGTATTTAAAAAAATATTTTATATTTAGAATATGAGCATTATATTATAATAAGCTTACAAGAGATTAAAAAAAACCAATAGTGGTGCATACTAAGTATGTCAATAGAGAGGTGAAATAAAAAAAGTCTCGTAACAACAACAAGAGCTATTGCGAAAATCATTATGAATTTTCAATTTTTAACATAGTCTAATAAAATTTCTGTCAAAATGAAAATTTAAATTATTAAGATTTCAAAATAAACAAGAAATTAATAGGTTTTTATTTTTAAAATTACTTAAATTACGTAACATGTAACACCTACTATGCCACGGTTTTTGAATTTGAAAGTAGTCATAACTATCTTTCGGTCTAAAGTAGAAAGTTTAGTACATTTTACGGATGTAAAAAGAAAATGCATAGGACAGATAATAATAATCAATCTTCCTATCTTTTAAGCCCAGTTGGCATTAATCACTATCGTAATTGATTTTGATACATTATATGCCGAAATGGTACTTCTTACTTATACACTAGTAAGTGCACAACTATTAACAATGCATTAACGGTGTGGTGCATGGCTAGCCTCCGAGCGTGTCTTCGAGCCCGCTTCACCGCAGAGTCCGCGTAATGAAGACGTTGAAGCACCTCAGACTCCCGGTATGTATATATCTACATAACCCACACTCCATCAAACTAAACATTTGTATTACAACATTATCTTTCATTCCGTAAAAGGGAGGGTCTTAAACAAGCATTTTGTTAAGGAGGTTCTTATTGAACTTATTAGTTATTAATTTTGTTTAAAACAATGATAGTGAGGAAGTGGATATTTAATCATTGCTCTCTTTTTTACACAATAATTAACAGCAATAAAACAACGTAACGCATTACACATAAAATTTATAGCACTTAAAATTCCATTATAAACAACTCATGTAGTATATGTGATGGAGGTCCATTACATGATCACTCCAAAATAAATTGAGTATGCAAACCAACAACAATACTCTTCTTAGCTTATTCTAGTGAAATAAAACAATATGACCAATTGAATGACTGATGGAATCGCCCAGGATATCGCCTGCGTCGAATTTTATTCTGCACAAACGAGTGGAGTTTTCGAGTTCTACCCTCACTTCTATTATCTCTTTTCGACCGAATATATGAGACACTAGATAAACCTAAAATTAGGTAACGAAATCTCTAAACATCTTTGTAAAGGATGTGTAATAGAATAAATAATAAAATTTAGCTGTGCACTCATCAACCCGCCGGCCAAATATTTTGAATAATGGAAGTTAATTGGGCTGTATTGATAGAGCAAGAAACTTAAAAAGGCTGGTGATTAGATCACATGAGGAAATCAACTTTTGTTTCTATAATATTAGAAAAAAACAGGAAACAGTATTGAAAGGGTACCCGGATCTCATCTCATATATTACGAAACATAGTATTACTCTGGCATTCTGTGCGAGTTAGAGCCCTCATTGGTGGCCGTATGAGGAAGCTCATGGTCGCTCAGCGAGCTATGGAGAGGGCTATGGGCTTGGTTTCTCTGTGTATTAAACTAGATACTACAGAGTAGATTGTTTTGTGGTTCTACTGAGGATATCCGCAGTAGAACCACAGTAACCAACATAGGCAATGTGCTGGCTATATAGCTCGAATAATCTACAACAGATGGGAAAGAAAGATTCTCGAGTGGCAGCCTCATAGTGATAAGTGAAGTGTAAAGCAGCCCCCTAGGATCGAGTGGCGGATTTGTAAGAGATGCAGGAAGTCGTAAATCTAACAGTGCTGTTCTTTGTGGCATTTCTTGATGGGGCCCTATCTTTAACAGTGGACTTGTGATGTTGATGATATTATTTATTTATTAGGATATTAAGTTTAAGCTAGCTGTGGTAGCTCAGATGGTCAGCGCTCGCTGTAATTTTCACAGTACGTGAGCTAACCGGGTTCGATCCCCGCCGGCACCTATAAAATTGTTAATTGCAATTTTAAGTGCTTGTTTACCACGTGCTCGGCGGTGAAGCAATCATCGTAAGGAAATCTGCATATCTGAGCAATAATATATATATATATATATTTCGAAGACATGTGAAGTTCGCCAACACGCATTGGGGCAGCGCGGCGGTCAATTCCTTGGCCTAAAACCCTCTCAGAAATGAGCGGAGGCCTGTGCCCAAGAGTGGGACGTATATATAGGCTGTAACTTTTAACTTTAAGTTGTAAAGCATTAGTATAACTACTACTATACTAAAATAAACATTGTTTCCATTTCATTACATTCTAATTTTTGAGTACTTGTAATTTTTTGAGCTATTTTCATCACCCATGTATTTTTATATGATAGTCATTGTAGAAGTAGTATATGGTACCAATTAGTTTATTTGTTACTCTGTAGGTGGCATGCTGAGTACTTTAGGTCCACCCTTAACGCCCGGTGTGTTAGGGCCTTTTACACCTGGTACCCTGCTTGACGGAGGTCTGACGCCTGGCGGCTTACCACATGGAGCTATAACGCCAGGTAATTGACACATTAATTTGAATATGGTGTTTCATGATCGATTTGGCCTAAGACGACATATTATTATTAAAGTTTGCTTTATCCAAATCCTTCATTTTCTGTTTGTCTTAGTGTTTAGTTCTATGTTACCTAGTGTCGAGTTTGGAACAATTCATGACTCGAAAGTTATTGTTGTATGAATATTGTTTTAGTTTTAAAAGAAATAAATAAAGAATATTGTTTAGTTTAGTTTGAATCCAGCCGCCGGATATTCTGCTGCACATTGCCGTTTGGTGCATCGCAAGAAGCAAAAAGTAAAGTCAGTGCAAACTGTTCGCGATCGTGACCCTTATATTTGGTGGGCAGGTATTGCTACACAATACCCAAGTTTATCAAAGTTTGCCAAAATTTACCTTTCAGTACCTTAAGACTAGACTAGACCTAAGACTTTTTTCTATTTTATTATTATTATTATTATCGATAAAATGACTGCCTACTATAGAATATAGTAGATGGCGCTATTACTGAGGTGCGCTCAATCTTACAGAAATAAAAACGTGTACCTTGGTAACTGTCTTAAATAAAATTCGTATAAGATTAGTATTTGAACAAAATACCGTTGTAATCTTGTAATTGTACTACTATATACTTTATGGTATGTAATGCCCTGCGTTTGCGACTTGAATGATCGACCGAATGCCCGGTACGTACGTAGTGTTTACACCCACCACTTTTCGTCATACAAAAAGGTTGCGGATCAGTATTTCAATCAAAGCCCTCCCGTAAAAAGTTTCACTTCAAAAAACTGTGGTTGCCAACCCGCTTGCCAAGCGTGGCAACTGTGGCAAAAATCCCACCTATGATGCAATCTATGAGGAGACCTATATGTTCAGCAGTGGGCTTTAATAAACTGTAACAGTAACGGTATAATTTATTACTGCACAACATTGAATTTACAAAAATTATATATTAACATACATGTTTAAAATATTACATCTAAGATAACAATAACATTAGAACCTCTGACTTCTAAACTAGAATAATCTATGTAATTCATAAAATAAATGTTGCACCGGTAGTACAGTTTGTGGTAATGTTTCGGTTGTCGTTTGCAGTTTGCACATTCAGTAGCAAAGCGTTACTATTGATATCGATATCTGAAAACGGTTTTCAATAACGATATAGAAACTAGATATCGGTTTTGTAACCGTTGCAAATAAAAACTGAAAACGCCCATGCTTACTGCAAAGTAAAATGACTAACAAACCAGCTGTAATGGTTATTTAAAGCGTCATACATTAACGCCATAAACATCTACATATTTTGGAATTCAAATAATTTTTTATTAGATTTGGGTTGATTTGAGTAAAAATACAAAACAATAATTATAATAAAATCAAAAACAATAATTTTGTTATGATGTAAGTCACAGACCTGTTATTGTAATATCCAGAAGGGTGATTAAGTTGTAAGATACGTCATACTTTAAATTAACGCCAAATGTAACACTTAACTTACTATAAATATTTTGAATCTGAATTTATGTCCCAACATTCAATAATAGATTTATTATAACTTGCCCATAGTCTAAAAGATACAATTGAAACAGAAACAGAAACTTTTTTATTCAATATAGATTATAAAAAATACTTATTGAAGGTCAATTATTTCATTTATTTATAATTGAGGAATATGTTATAAAATTTTTGGATTCAAATGTTTTATAAGTATATATTTTTGTTGTACTAATAGGCGGACTTCCACATGGCGGCATGACTCCAGCAGGACTGCAGCACGGCGAACCGCAGCCTATGGATCTGGGTCTGGGAGCAGGTGACATGACTGTTATTTATACACTTAAACAATTCTTGACATATTATAACAAGCTATTCGAAACGTTTGATCAATCCAGGACCATATACATACCCAGAAAAAGACAAATCATGAATCATATTGTTTGTGAGGTGATTGTTTTATCTGCAAACCCTATTACAATTTTCGAAGTACATATATTCGATGTTGGTACATTGAAAACGAGTTTGAATAGTCACTAATGTATAAATAGAAATTGCATATTGGTTAATAATAATTTATCAAAATCTCAGAATATATTTATTATGAACAAAGTGTTACGATAGTTGTGATATTAATGTTTGTTTCTGTTCACTTTATTTACTGATAATATTGACTATGCAGGGTTATTTTTCAAGGACTATCCAAATTTTATATTTAAAGTTCAAATATACAAATAATGCCTCTGACTCGTTGGTCTAGTGGTTGTAGTAGTGCGACTGCTGATCATGAGGTTCTGGGTTCGAATCCCGCGTCGGGCCGAAAAATTTATTATTGAGTTTTTCCGTTAAAAAATTCTCAATAGTTGCTCGGAGTCAGGAAGTTGGCAGTGTCTCACCCCCGTGCCTCGGAAAGCACGTAAAGCCGTTGGTCCTGCGCTTGATCTCTCTCCAGTCGTGTCGGTTTACCGTCCCATCGGATTATGAGAGTGAAGGAATAGAGAGTGCACCTGTGCTTGCGCATACACTTAGACACTATAATCCCGTCCTGCGCCGATGGCTAGCCTCCGTTAAGGCAGGCCGCCGTGGCTGAAATTCGCTCTGGAGGACATTATTATTATACGAATAATGATAAATCCGTAAAAACTAGTTTTATTTAAAAGTATATTGCCAGCTTCGGAGAAGAGGCTCTCGCTATACACGACTAGCTGGACGTCAAAGGTTAAAGTGTACCTCTCTTATCCACTCAGCAAGACGCGACATTCCGGGATATCTTGAACTGTTACGACTCCACCACTCAACTGAGCTGACAACGAAGCGGTTGCCTATACCACCCAAACTTCAACGAAAGAAATGATCGGCTTGGCAGACTAGTCGGCCAATGTCATAGTCAGCTTATACAGTAGTGTTCGCGGTTCAAATATTTTCTCTACGTCATTAATAACTAAGCGACACTACCTACGACAATTTAAAAATCGCACACTCGTACGTAATGTGGTCACGGTCATCACTGTCAGTAAGCTGTCGGGCTGACGTAGGTATCTAGCGGTGTAATGCCTGCAGTACATTGCTCGCAGAGTTGAACGAAGTTGGGCAAAGACGAGTGTCTACAGAGACGTTTCGCTTCACTTCGGGCAACCACGCCTCGTCTCGGGTGACTTCAGACCGTTGTCGGTTTCTTCCGCCCGAGTAAAAGGACCGAAGTTTTGAGCACGAAGTGATCCTGTGCTGTATATTATTCGGCTTACTTCTATAAAGTTAACGTTGTGTTGTTTAATTTAAAAACGTTTTAATTCGATCCAAATTCATCATTCATCATTACAGCCCTTCACAAGTCCACTGCTGAACATAGATCCAAATTGCTTAAGCCAAAAATGAATTGGTCACAATAGCAAATACTATTGCTTTTGGAGTTGCTACAGAGGGAAACGATAATATGGGACCCTGGAAATGATTTTTTTGGCATTAAATTTACGCACATAGTTAAAATACGCAACAGTGCACAAAGCAAACAGCTGCCACTTTACGTTCTCCATCTCGCCTAGCGTGTAAGCAACTAGTTCCTCACGAAGTTGAGCGAGTGTGTGACAGAGGCTCCTCGTACTTTGGCTGACCTCGGGGAACTCTTAGACGAGGAACTTCGCGTGTAGTATACTGCAGCCTCTACGGTTAAGGGAAGGGAAGCGTGCGGGAAAACGCGCGACAAGGTACCTATATATGTAACCGAGCGAACATTACATTAATGTATGCTTGCGTAGTAAAATTGTAGGCGTTAGATATTTATGAATGACAATCAGTTAAAATAATGCATTACCACGCATTTTGAATTTAAAAGATATGAAGGACAGAATGTTTTATATTTTTTTATTAATTTTTTCACCATTCGCTTATATTACTTATTATGAGTCTTCTCTACAAATTTTTGACATACATTGCAAAATAATAACATAACTTATAGTTTAGTGGCAGCTGAAGATTATCCTCTACCCCATATCATCTCGTCGGTGTCGTAAGAGGCGACAAAGGGAAACAAAGTAAGAGATGGACAGTTACACCTTCCTTATAGCAACTAGAAAATAAAATACTTCATAAATTATATAAAGATGTAATTGACGGCCGTATCGCTTACAAGCGATCTCTGCCAGGCAACTACATTACAGAGGATATAATGACTTGTGAAGAAGGATAAGGGTATACACAATTTACTGGAAAATATACATATACAGTATTTATATAAATAAATATTTACGCAATATATACATTTAAAGTACATAAATATGGAAATATTTATACAATAAGATAAGATAAACGAGTAAACAATGTGTAATTATTAGTAACAATAATAATAAAGGAATATTATTTATAATTATTATGGTATAGGTAATTGATTTAATCTGCCACACTTTTAGATCTCTGAGATCTAAGAAATATTTTTTGTTGATATCCAGACAACATGGGATAGTCTATTCAAATGTATTCCTCTTTTTTTTCTGAATAATATCACTTTACACTTTATTGTCTAGTTTGGTTATTGTTGCACATTGTGACAATAATAAATCTGTTTTAATCTATCCTTAACGTAATAAATTTCATAGTGTAGAAAAGAACAAATATTTTTTGTACATTTTTATGGACTGGAGTTTTAATTTTCGTTCACAGGTATGACCCCTGGTGGTATGACGCCCGGTGGTATGACGCCCGGTGGTATGACACCCGGTGGTATGACACCCGGTGGTATGACTCCCGGTGGTATGACCCCAGGTGGTATGACCCCCCGGTGGTATGACCCCAGGTTGTATGACTCACGGCCTGGGTTTGGAAAGCGGAATGACGCCAGGTGGTTTCGTTCATGGAGGGCTAACTCCAGCTGGCCTTCAACATGGCGGTATGACACCAGGTCAGTTCATCTTTACTTATAATTAAAAGATTTTTTAAAGGATAAGGGTAATAAGCAATCACACAGTCCACCTGATGGTAAGTGGGTACTGTGGCCCAAGACATCTACATCTACATCTATCCTCGATTACGAATCAAAATGTAGATATGTTGTCACCCGAGAGGACAGGTGGAATGCCGCATTTTCAGTAAAATCGGTCTCCAGTTTTTTAAAATCACCATACGAAACACAGACGCATTGAGCTGCTACAAATGTACTACCAATATACCTGCAGCATGGCTCTACCACGTAAGAAAAATGTATGTTTAAATAGGTTAAGTTATTAAGGAAAAAAATTATAATAGGGTGTGTGCCTTATGCACTGCTAAAATTACTAAATATTCACAAGTACATGACTTGTACAAAACATGATAAATTAAATTATTCTTTAATTAACTAGAGACCATTAAGTCCACTGCTGAACATAACAGATATTTCCCAAAGTTGCCACGTTTAACCGGCGGGTTGGCAACCGCGGTTTTATTATTATTATTGTTATACAATTGTTCTAATTCTCTATGTCGTCTCTTACTACACCCACGGGATGGAATGGGATAGTGCTTATTCGAATGAGCTCTGTTTATCCTTCGTCGAGTTAAACTGTGGTTTATCAAATTTTCACAAATTTTTGTTTTACATCTTGATCTAAAAGAGCTATTTATTTAAAAAAATTATGTTTAATTTTCAAATATTTGACACTAGGCGATCTAGATCACGGAGGAATCACGCCAGTGGGGCTGGAGCACGGCGGGATGACACCATCGGGTAAGTGTATATTTTAGAACTCGATTAAAAGTTAATGGCCGCTTAATTTAGGCGGCTCAAATTAGCTGTGAGTGTGTGGCTTTGCACAGGTACACAGGTTGACAATAATATCTACTTTTTACTACTTTTTTACGTAGTGTACTAAAGTACACTACGTACACTTACTATAAAAGTCCACTGCAGCCGCCGTTTTTTTTTAAAATTATTTTGAGTTATTTTTGGAAAGATGTCGCTGTCCACATAATATAAAGAAAATAAACTCATTATTGGCTGCATGTTTTAGTAAATTATCTATTTTACGGCAGCTGTGGGATTTGAAAATTCATTAAAGAAATAAGTAAATGTTTACCTGCATTATGCATAAGCTGGTTCATTTGTATTATTGTATGTGTTGTCGTTGTGCCTATAGCTGTGTATTTGCCCGGAATTTTCATGTATTTTATTTAAAAAAAAAAAAAAATCAAGAATAATTAGCGGAAACGCGTGAAGTTGTTTGATGTACATGATTTACTGTTGCACAGCCCTTGCACCAACTTCACAACTGCCATTTAGGTTGAAACATTATCTAATTTACCTTCTATTATGCACAAGATCTGAAGATGTATTTATTTAATTTATCAATATATGTACCTAATCATTTAATCATTTAATCAGCTTGCCAATAATTTGAATTTGATTACAGCTGAAATTATTTTTAGAGGTAGCTTACTGCGTGCTTGTCAATTATGGAAAACATGCGAGAGAAAAATTATAAATTTATAAAAAAAATCTCATTATCAATTTTCTTTGGGTATATGGAGAACAACTAAGTTCCACCAGTTCACACTTAAGATTGTTTTTTTTTCCTGCATTTTCAGTAGTTTACTCCTTTTCTTCCCGTAGACAATCATCCCAGCTTCAGAGGAATAAACACTTTCTTCCTGGCCGAATACTTTTCCCTAATATTCGTCTATTTGGCCAGGATGCTCGCGGAATATTCGGTATTCGTCATGTGGGCGAATATACTATTCGTTGCATGTCTAGCTTATACGAGTAATCTCCTGGGGCTGGTTGTTATAACAAATGCATGAATTTAGTATTTTCTGTCTCACAATGGATATTGTATGAAGGTACAAACAATAACTATAGATGCATCTTGTGTTGCATATAAATATGATACTGTAGTCACTGGTTGGTTTTTAACAACGGGACTATTCTTTTAATGGACAAACCGTATTCTACAAATCTAGGATTGTTTGTGTTTTTGTCATATACACGTCACACCATTATGAAAGATAAAAACATTTTAAAAATAGGTTAAGTTATAATTATGTTAGTTGATAGTAATGAATGATGACGAAAAAACTAACAGCTAGTTTTGGGCAGAATTAGAGATATTTATTTTGATTTTAAGGTACACCACCCTCTTACCTATATCTGCTGCCAAGCAGTAGTTCGTATTATGATGCGTTCCAATCTGAAGAGTATGAAAAATACATGCTGTGAGGCATTCCAACTTAATCCCTAAAGGTGTCAACGTATCTTTGAAGTTGGCTATGGGGTACCATATTATACTGCAGTGGCCTCTTACCATCAGGTGGACTGCAAATTAATTTGCAACTTTAATTTTATACGAGAATAATATCAACAGAATTACAACATGGTGCGCTACTCCAGCATGGTATGGGGCAGCTGCCGATGATGCCTCAGCTCGGGGGAGAACAAGTATCAACATTATTATCCCGGACGGTACCTACCACGCAGCCGTTGCAGCATGACTTACCACACACGGTACCTATGGAACCACTACCATTACATGGATTGGATGAACAAACAGATTATCAGGTATATTTTACTAAATATGTTACTCTAATCACTCGGCTACATTATGCTCATCGTACTGCCGCGATATTGCCCTGTCTGTACACACACTGCTCTACTCGTGACGCTCCAGACTAGTTCACTCGCGTTTGTAACACAATGGATGTTGAAACTGTGGCAGCGTGCGCGCCAACGACTACACAGCCCGAATAGACGCCTAATGTATGTACTTCTGCATCCAAACCTGTCTGTCAAAAGTCTGAAGTAAATTGGGTAAAATCAAGGTTGCGACACTTGCTAATAAGCAAATAGTGATGGGGACTTTAACTAATAAACTTGGTACCAAGTCTACTTAATCGGTACCAGAATTGTATTCTACTATAAATTAGTACAAAATAAAAAAAAAACAAAAGAAGTTTTATTTAAGTAGGTATCGTATTTAGTAAAATACCTATAATTTTTTGTTTTAAAGAATATTTTTTATTAAAACAAGCTTTCTTTACAATATTGAAATAAATAATAGAATACTATTATAAATAAAATACCAACAGTAAACTGTCAAGTTCATTTCCGTTTCCTACTTGCTTGACATGGCGTCTTAGCAGTAAAGAGAGCGGGGAGTGCCGTCTATTAAAAATTATATCAATTTTATAATGATTTATTTTAAGAAGTTTAGAATAATTTGATTTAATTATTAAATCAATTAATTCAAAAACGGATTAACGGACATTCACTAAAAAACTTACACCAATGTCGCTTACAGTATAAGTCTGTAAAACATTCACGATAACATGCATAATATTTACTTGTACCAATATTATAGTTTAACTGGTGCGGCACTAGTTACACGTGCCGGTAATTAAAGAAAAGTATAGCAACAATGAACTCCATTGAAAGGAAAGGGATGCATAGTCTGAAAATATCCGAAGATGTCCGAAAGAAAAACGCGAGTTGCTTCTGACAAATATAGGTTGAGCTCTGATTTAATTTTAATTAATGAATTTGGAAATTAAATTTCACTTATCTATGAAAAGTGATGCCATTTTTTTTAAATTACACATTTAGCTACTATTTCCACACTATTTTATTGTACAGGGTTTGTTGCGCGTCTGTTGTATTTTATTTTGTAGAAAATTCACGCGTCACAAGCAAGATGTTCACGGGTCAGGGAAGTGGTCGCTACTAAAGTAGATCGTGCGATCGTTTTCTTAAGTAAGACGTATTTGTCTAACATGTTGACAGAAAGTCTTCGCCTTGCATGAGGCGTCTATTCGGGCTGTGTAGTCGTTGGTGCGCGCTATCTGTATTATTACTATTGCTAATTATATCAATGTCATATAAAGAAATATACGTTATCGTCGTTGAGATAGCTTTTTCTCTGTATCTTCTTTACTCATGTAATAATGTGGCTCAGTGATGATAATAGGTACACTATAATAATAAATGAAAAGTGACGTTCTTCCGTAACGACCGCTTGATGAGTTCGCGCTATTATGTGGTCGAGTCGTCGCGCTCATATTTCTAGTCCTTTGACTCGTGCCCAAAAAACCGACAAACCAGGGAGCGATGGGCATGACGAGTATTGTGACTGCACTACGTCTCTGCTTCCTTTACTCGTTACTTCCCATGCCACGCGACGAGTGTGTGGCTGGGGCGTAAAACAGTACTATTTAGGGTTTCATCACTGCCATAAAGTGCAATTGAAGTCAATTACTGGTTTACAATTAATTTAAAAAAATGATACATATTACCACATTCATATATTTTACAACATACTTAACTGCTTCACTTATCCGTGAGTCATACATAAACATTTCGATTGTTTAACTATTGTGTCTATATTGCGGACAGGGAAGTTGTTAAGATTATTGTAGTGGAAATGTTTAGAAAAAATTCCCAAGCACTGAGCAGTGATTGAAAAGATCTAATATCTAAGAAATAAAATATTTTGAAGACATGCAAAGCTTCATAAAACTCTTAAAAAGGAGAAGAGGCCTGTGACCAGCAGTGGGGCTAATATAGACAATAGCTTTACCTTAAACACCTAAATACCATTATTTTTATACAGATATAAGATATATTTAATAAGGCTTTTATAATATTTTGTGTGTAACAAAAATCTCTGGAAATTCAATTTCCAGAGATTTTTGTTCAATTATAGCCGTGATTGGAAATGTTCAGTGGTGAAATAATAATTAGATAATTTTAAAAGACATAAATGGGCTTCAGATCATCATCCGATCTGGTTACAGTTTATTTGGGACCACTGTGGAAGTTCATTAAGAAAAGTCTAACAACCGATATACACTGTGACGAAATAATCAGTTGTGTAAGAGAACATTCTCCGTTTTTAGTTGGTTAATAATGTTGCGCGCCTAAGTTGACGTCATGTTGTGTCAGGGACGAGAACGGGGGGGACTTTCCAGAAAATGACCACTAATCTTTCAACAGACAGCGCCATCTAGTGTCGAAACGAAGAACTAAGCTTCTAGAAGCCGACACTCGAACTTTCGACGCCTTGCGCGTTTTTACTTGAATGTTCTGGATGTTTCGGTGCTAATGTGTATTTATAGGCGCTGCAAGGTGCAAACAGGGAAGTATTGAATTTGGCGAGACAAGCGAAGCTTCGGAACGGAATAAAGTGAATTAGTGTGATTAATTATTAGCCTTTTAAGTTTTAATTAGTGTATAGTGAATTAAGTTGTGTAAGTGGTGTAAGAGTTAATTTTGGTAATTCTATCGGCAATTTTTATTGTCACGAACCTCAAGCTCGTAACAATTTCTCTTCCATTTCAGACTAGTATGCAAATGACCAATTTAGGATATGACGAACAACAGCCGCCTCCCAGTCCGCCGCATGATTACGATTTGCCTCTCAGTGTGGAAGCTGTAAGTATTATGTTCTTAAATTTTTAAATAAGTAAAAACATTCAGCCTACCGCCTCTCCCATAGAAGCAAAGATTATATGATTAATTTAATAAGAATGAGATGTAAACAGTCTTGTATTTAATTTATGAACACATTACTAAGATAGTGAGTAGAAATATATATTTCTCAATTGTAATGCTCTTACGAGGTCGTGAGACTATTTGACCTCGAGAAGAAGCTTTTTATCATTTACTTGGATTCCCACACAATTTCCATGAAAAAAGTTCTGCTTTAACATCTCATAAAACTACCTATTTTAATTGACGTAAGTATCAAGTACTTTATTTATGTATGTAGAACGCCTCTCATGTTACTATAGAAATTCCTAGTGGATATACCTAGGGTAATATTATATAATAGTACTAAATGAAAAAGTTTTTAGTATTGAGTTTTGGCTGGAATTTGATAATGAACGGAATGTTGCTCTTGTATAGATAATGTTTTAATAATTTTTTGAAGTAGATTTTGTTACGTAAAAATGGTGGGATTTTGTGTATTAAGCGTCTGCATATGTAAATAATTAGTGGAAGCAATGAAGTAAGTGTTCTGATGCTGATATGAATCTTAAGTTATTTTGCCTCCTTGGGCGCGCTGGGATACATATTATCGTCATCGACTGTCTGTTGGCTTAAGCTGCTGTAAAGTACGCTAAGTTTTAAAATATTGCGAAGAATTTTATTTAGCAATTCGTTCATTACAGCTTATCAAAAGCTACTGCTGAACCATAGAATACTATAATACATACATAATAGAACGGGGCAGTGGGCGGAGCCCATAGCCCCTAACATGTCAATTCACACCTATAAATGTCAACACAATCGATCGTTTCCAATTTTCGTGTCAAGTGTCGCTGCATGCAAATTATTTAAAAAATAAATTGTGCAAGTATTGCAAAGTGACGAAAGAACAGCGAGAAATAGAATTCAAATAGAGGAGACATAACCCTACAACCAGTAAGTGAAACTATATTTTGTAAATATTGGAAACAAAAATAAAGAAATATTGATGTGTCAAAAACATTAATCAAAAGTCTAAAATGTGTAAATTCGCTCAGTCTATCAATACAGCGAATTGGGTTTGTAGTAGTGATAATACGACGTAATTGCTTGTATGTCTAATCCTCTTATAAAATAAGGTTGACAGCCATTCTATTGGTATTCTATGTGTAGAACATAAGTCTCCCTACCATATGAGGGGTATTTTCCATAGTTGCAAGTGGGTTGGTAATGGCAATTTTACTACTTTAATTAGAAAGATGGTGCTGTCCATTTTCTGTTTCATTCTTTCTTATCAATTATGATACCCATAGCTGTTTTGTTACTGGTCGTGATGTCAAAAAATTTACAATGAACATGTTATTTTTAAATTATAAAATGTGCAGCTTTTATAATTTATTTTTGACGGCTTCTTAGCGCAGTGACTTAATATTGAGTTGTGGCGCCGATAGTCTAAGATCCCGCTGCAAAATCACTACGATCATTACGTCGTGAGTCAAACACACATTTTGACATACGTTTATGAATAGGCGAATACACTGATGCGCGCAAACTCTCTCTCTCACTTTATCTCGGATATCGCGTGTTTTTAACAGATAGCACACCTAATTTGCGGCTATTTTTTCACAGGTATACAATAGGCAATGTCATCATCATATTAGAAAAAAAAAATAGCTTTAATTTGATATAAAAAAACATCCGTGTAAGTCATGAACGCATAGATAGATCAAAATATTACCTGCTTACACCTGGCTGCGAGTTAGTTGCGGCCGAGTGTGCAACGGCACCTATAGATTTTAGAATTCTTTAGATGCATTGTTATGATGTGGATGATATTTTATTTAATAGAGTGAACGAATTTTTTTGGAATATGAATTAACATTAATTTAATTAAAATTACTTGCGGCCACTTTTTACTGGCTGCGGTGTTATCAGTGTATTCTCTTATTCATAAACGTATGTAAAAATGTTTGTTTGACTCACGATGTAATGAACGTAGTGATTTTGCAGCAGGATCTCGTACTATGAGGGCCGTGGGTTCGAATCCCGCATAAAATAGTTATTTTAATCGCACACAAATAACTGTTCCAGGTCTGGATGTTTGTCCTTGTGCAATTTATGCCTGTAATCTGCCTCCATGATATAGGAGAAAATCCTAGTGTAGGGTAGTGTTAAAAATAAATTATTAGCGAAAAGCCAAGTAGTTGATGCATCGACTAATAAAAAAAATTATGTACGCAGGGCGAGGACTAAAGTCACTGTAGCCAATGCCATAATAAATAAATAAATGTTTTTGTGTGTAGGGACCAGAGGACGGTCGTGGGGGGTGCGGGGGCAGCGGCACGCGCGAGGAGCGCGAGGCGGGCGAGACCGAGGAGCAGTTCTCGGAGCGCGTGCTAAACCGGCGCGCGGCGCAGCTGTTCGCCGCCATGCGGCCTGCGCTGGCCGCGCGCCGCAGCCTGGCCTTCGCCGACGTGGCGCCGCCGCACAACACCAGGAAGCAGGTGCGAACGTGCGCCCGCACTACTGTGCCGTCTTGAAACACCCGCTAGGCCGTATCACTAGTTAACGTTACCGTTAAAGCTTTTTAAGCGAGTCACAGGCTACGCAGATACGATAATATTTTATCTGCGTATAAAACTTAACTATCTAAAAGTATCACACACTACGCAGATACGATAATATTTTATCTGCGTATGAAATATTGTAAGTTGTAGCACGAATGGGTCGGCTCGACCGGGGAAGGACCACGCTCTCACAGAATACCAGCGTAAAATAGTAGCTCAATGCTGCTGTGTTTCGTATGGTGAGTGTAGAGAACCGGAGACCATTTTTACTGAAAATGAGGCATTTCATCTTAGTCCTCACGGGTGACAACGCATCTGCATTTTGATTCGTAATCGAGGATAGATGTAGATGTATACGGGCCACAGCAACCACTTACCATCTGGTGGACTGTGTGCGATTGTCACCCTAACTTATAAAAAAAAGTTTGCCTCACAGGGGGTATATTTGCTATAGTTGACTCACTAGGCAAACGGATTGACAACCGCAATTTTATGTTTGTAGTAGTTATTAGGAAGATGCTGCTGCCCATCTCTTGATTTGTTTCTGTTGTTCGTCACTTACGACACGCACAGGATGGTATAGGGAGAAGGTTATTCTTACACCGCCACTACGCGACATTATTTGCGCAGGCTATTAGCTGAAAATAAGTTTATCCAAATAAAACTTTCCCGCTTAGCAAACACGTTAATTATTCTCTTAAAACACTGCTAACAACTTTTCTCCGTTTACTTTCCGTTCTGACAGTACTTGGTGATAATTTTTGACTCAATTATACACACCAAAAATGTGCATGTGTACCTTTACTACAAATTACAATATGCAATCGTTAGATAAATGCCTATCCGTCACGTAGTATTATTCTTCCGTTCATCGCAGATACAAAACGCGTCGCGCCAGCGTGGCATCCGACTTATAGACGTTTTATCGCACGGAGACGGACGAGTCTTATCTCTAATTGTAATATGGATAGACACGTGTACTTATATGCGTAAATGCAGATAGGTATAACAAATATGGGGGGGGGGAATGTTCGACGTCCCAAGGTCATAGTTAACCACGGCTATCTCAGATTAAAATTATTAATTTTTGTATCAGTATCAGGCCTCTATCACTTTTGCTACCTACGTGAAATAATTACCTAAAATCGCGACGCGCCCGGGCGAAATAACGCAGTCAGGGCTAGCGCATTGGAGGCGATTGAATGTTAAAGTTTTTTAACGCTGTTTACGTAAATAGTTTTGTGTAGGTAAACATAGTTGTAAATGTTTTACTGTATTTTAAAAATTATATAATATGTATATTACCTATTTGATAAATTATATTAGCAAAACGTCGTTCCTACTATAACTTAGATGGATACTAAATGAAATGACCAACAAAAGGTTTCATATCATTCTTTAAGTTACCGAAGAATTTTAGAAGGAAGTTATGAAAGGTGAATTTTTTTAATTTTTTTTGTTAGATAGGTACTCACAGCAAAAAAAGAATTAAATAATAATTTGGTCTACAGAAGAAATACCTAAGTACTTCATTACAAAAATTAGTACTTCATAGTAATAATTTGATTATGGGTAAATATATTGACGATATTTTGGGAGTGTAAAATTTACTTCACTATACAAGTATTTACTTACATACCTATACTTGTCTTTTATAATTAAAATATTTTGAGTTATAATAACACAAAATACTGAAATTAAAACTTTGTATACTAACAAGATTTTTAACTAAATAGAATAGATCACATTTCTGTTAGAAATCGTATTTCAGATTTATTTGTTATTTACACTATCTACCTATTTCTCCCAAGCCTTACGATTCCCGGCGAATGACCTTGCAATTTGCATGCGTTAGGCATCGCAGAACTCACATATGGGCGAAAGTATGGTTGTCAATCATAGTCAGAATATTAGTTAGTACTTCATCTAAGTAACATAATTAAAATTTTGCAATGTATTTTTTTACTTTCTATTGACATCCCTTAATAACCACGGAAAGTCCGCCGTGAAAAAAAAGATGCAAAGTAATATGGACACCAGCGTGCAGCGATAAAGTTTTATTTAGCTGGCGTGTGCGATTTATCTGATTAATAATAATTATGTTGGCTATTAAACGTCGGTAAGCAGTCGACATCAAAGGAGTGCAACTTCTGTACGTAGTACTATTATTTATTCTGTGACAGTATGAACTTATAGAGCATCCAGCCATCTTTTCTATTGAAATTAGGATATAATAGCCTCGCGAATTATCTTTGGATAGAATCGGTATTCTTTAACGAGGATTTGTGGTTTATTCAATCTGATGTGGTGGACGGGGGTGGTCTTGTACGTGTTCACAGACTGTTGCTTCTTCACATCAGCTCGGTGTCCCTTAGCGCGAGTTTTTTATTGATCGTTTTATTTGTTCTATGTAAGAGAGACCACATCCACAATCAAGCTTGTACACTCCTGCATCTTGCAGAGAGACTACACTTGACTGATGGTAAAAAATGATGGTACTGTGAAGTGCTCGAAACGTCGGGAATAAAAAATAAGTTAATATACGCGATATAACCCGTAAAAACTAGTTTTGTTTAAATAAGTAGTGTTCGCGTAAACATAAGAAATCATCAGGTATAACAAAGTCATCGTAATTGAACAAAATTAAATGAGCTATGCAGTTAAATAAAAATATTTTTTATTTTTAAGTATCGGAATAACTTTACATTTAACCTTTTGAGCGCCAAAGTCGCCCATACTTGACCAGCACCTGCGGGTCCTGAGCTCCAATGACGTCTATAGTTGACAAAAAACCCGGCCCACAAAAATATGAAATATAGACCCTGATGACGTCATAAACGAATAGCGCAGTAGTGCAGTGCAACATGAACGATTCCTCTGAACTCATTCTCATTTTAGAAAGCGTCGATGATGATGATTTTTTTTTTATTTTAATAATATAAAATTACAAATGTTAAATGTTTATTTTTTTCTAAAGGTATGAAGAGCAATTTTTCATTTTGTGTTGTTCAATTTTCTTTCTCAATCTTAAAATCATCTGGTAGCATCAGCATCATATCAAACCCCCCTTGTCATAAGAGCGTAAGACTTTTCTTCTGTGCTTCACTTGGCCTACGCCTCCCCCAACATATAAAATATTTTGAGTCGATCTCTGTATGTTTTGGTTAGATCGATTTCGAAATCGATACACAACGTGCGACACAGCTACATCTCTAAGAAAGTTTCCAAAAGGAAGGTCAGCTACGCCGTTGTCGTCCAGTCGTGACAGTGACGTCATCACGATGAAGAGTTGTGTTGCGGTTTACTACTATTTTATTGTTATTGTTTGTTTTTTATTTATGTACAAAGTACATATAGAGTGGACGATAGCACAAGATTAAATAAAACATACCAGATTATAAAGAGTCATTTATTGCATAAAAAACCAACAAAATCAAGTTATTTTGTGATATCAATATATCAACTCTTGGCAACACTATTTTTTTTCTTAGGTATTTTTGTTTACTTTTCGCTTTGGCGTACAGGACACGGTAATGCGTTTTTGGCGTGGCGCTCAAAAGGTTAAATCATACTTGGAATGACTTTCCTTTTTATGTTCTTATTGCACTATGTACATTCTAAACCACACCTATCTCCACGCACGCAAATGATAATTATTCGTCAGCGGCTGATGTACTAATTTTACTTATGTCAATGTTGATTTGTTATAATTCTTACTACATTTAATTTAAAAAATAGACTAAACCTTTTAACAAAGTTACGATTACCGCCGTAAAAAACAATAACTTTATTTTAACAGATGGCTTAACATTGCCCAGCTCTTTTGACTGTTATGTTAAATGGTTTTGGCTAAGCTTTCTTTTGATATAGCATTGTATGCCGGCAACTAACTCGATAGTTAATCATTGAGATAAATCAAACATAAACCTTATTGGATATTTCAGTATTCATTGAACCAAAAGTGAAACAATCTTAGTATGCAGGGGTGACAATGCATCTGCATTTTGATTCTTAATCGAGGATATATGTAGACGGCTACAGTATCCCACCATCATGTGGACACTGTGCTCATTAGTCAACTTTATGAATATGATAGTAGTCTTTTCTTCACAGATATAGTATTATAATACTATATCTGTGAATAAAAGAAAACAATATTTATATATTATTAATTATAAACTGCAAGGAATTTACCATTTTTAAAGATTAACAGTATCAAAGCATTGTTGATTAATGTTGATTCATCATGATATTTTGACAGGGTTTTTAAAAAACATTGCTTTCATTCTAGGTGGCACAGAAATTCTACAGTTTATTAGTTCTCAAAAAACATCAAGTTTTGAAGCTGGAACAGGAAGAAACATATGGACCCATAACAATATCAAGAGGCGAACAGTTCGAAACGGATGCTATTTAAATATAATAATTGTATTAATTATATTAATGGCAACAAAATATCAAGTAGTTTTAAAAGATTGTAATTAATATAAAAAGGGCGATACAGCGCTATGTAAAAAAGATTTTACTGGAATAAGTGGAGCCAACCAAATATATTGCATAAGTCGAGCTTCTGATTCGAGCTCATAGAAACTTTAAATCTTGTGTGAAATGAGTTTTAAAATTCTATAAAATTATGAATTTTTGTCAATTATTTTTAAATACGTAAATATCAGGTAAATTTTATACCTTATAAAATTAACTATGATGTTATAATCAGGTCATTTGAATTGTGTAACTATGCATGATCATGCAATTTGTTTGCCAAAATCATAATATTTGTTTATCAAAAATATTTCTTTATAGCACACCTTTGCCTTTGTCCATAGCAATAAACGATTATAAAATATTCTAGGTTTGGAAAGAGAATGACTTATAACTACTAATTAATCAATTGCTTAGGGATATAACGGAACAAAATTTCTTTTTGTGGCTTACACTTCCAAAGTTGACTTTTATAATGGTTTCTATGATCTCGTTTCATAAGCGAAAGTACAGTTTTGATTTTGAAAATCTTTTGTTGGATAGACTTGTAGCATATTGCCTTACTTTGTTTTGATATAGGCTAAGTGAAATTATTGTAAACTACGGTTTTTTGTTTAATAGAAACTCTAATTTAGATGATTAAGTATTATTGTTAAGTGCTACTCTGTGAATCCAAAATTGTGTTGTTGCATGTGTTACTGTGAAAATGAAAATTGTGATCATGACTGATACATATTTATAAAAATTCTATTCTCAAGGGAATGTAGATATAAATGTCAAATCATTATATTTAACGGTCAGATCGACGTGAATAATAAAAAAATATTGTGCATGTAATTGTGTACAAATGTACGAAATGAAACATCTCTACGACATATGCTTTTATTTATATAAGTAGGTTATATAATAATATTTCTGCAGCCCGGCGGTGAAACGTTACAAGAAAACGTTGTTTTTTTTAATACCGTACTAAATTTCTCCACTACGTCGATAAAGAAGTTTCATTTCAATTTCACTATAAGTTCTCGTATTTATTTTTTTGACATATTATTCTTAAACAACCATTTTCACTTATTTAAATGGGTAGACACTTTCAAACTGGCTAAAAGTTTCATTTCAATTTCAATATAAGTTATTGTATTTATGTTTTTTGACACATTATTCTTAAACAACCATTTTCACATATTTAACCCTTCAATCGCAATAAAAATTCCATGCAGTAAAAAGCATGCGCCCGGCAAATCCCGAACGGTCGCATGCAACCGCACCCACCCACAGCACTTAAAACCATTTAAACTTATATTTGGAGACCACTTTTCTGTGAAGAAGTTTGGCATTATAAAATCTATAAAAAATTCTCTATCCTGTGGTCTAAACAAAAGTCGGGTTATATTTTATTATAAAAAGATTTTATTGTATTTTGATAACAAAAAACAAAATATACCAAGCGAAAGTCGGCAGCGTGAATATCACAATTATTTCTATATATATTACTCGAAATTATTTACGTAAAAAGATAAATTATATTCACACAAAAACTTTAATTACAATTTTATAATAAAACACTATACTAAAACTAATAAAACACTAGAAAAATTCAAAAAATCAACACAATAAAATTCACGCGAAAATGGCGTACGAAATGAACGTAGATTATAAATATCCATAGGATAACGTACTTCTTTATAGAAAAGTAGTCTTTATATATAAGATTTTATGTGTTGAAGTGCTGTGGGTGGGTGCGGTCTCATGAGACCGCTAGGGGTTAGACGGAATATGGCCGCGGTCTCATGAGACCGCTAGGCGATTGAGAGGTTAAATGAGTAGACACTTTCAAACTGGCTAATATTTTCTCATATTTAAATAGGGACCATTGAAGTTAATTCCATTACATATAAATTTAATGCTTTAGGGATTTACTCTGAATTTAAAACTCGTATGTAGTAGAGATGTTGGTTTTATAAAAACGAACGTTTGCATTTTTATCTGACTGCAATCTATGAAGTCCTCTTTTATAGTTATCAAATTAAATTGTTGGTATAATATATTTTCTCGATTTTTCAAAACCTTATGAGGATATCCGAGCGGCAGTTAGTCTTTATGTACGTATTCCTTATTTTCAAGATACAATCTATATCTGCAAACCATAAATTAATTTTAGTATTCAGCCCACCTGGCTCGGTTGGGCATAATGAAGTGCAGCTACTGCACCTATTGCAATAATTCTGTTGGTGATATCGAACATTTCATATTTTATATGTGAGTGCTTTTCATTTGACAGATTGATTCTTGTCAGTGAAATTAGTGACATAGTGCAAAATCAAGTGACAGTGCAAGATCCCTCCCGCCGCCTGAGTGATATGTTCCTATTACGTGCCTCTATATACATTTATCAAAATTACAGTGGGGAAATTATAATAAACCAAATAAAAATACTCAAGACTTGGTCTAAAGGTCTAGATATACCAGGCCATAAACTCCAAAAAAAATATTTTAGTTTATTCCAAATTCATTTTTTTCTCCAAAAATTTTTCAACCTTTACTTAAATTGAACCTTCCAACATTTACTTAAATTGCCCAAGTAGTTATACCGCCGATATCAGACGTACAATTAACAAATTTACAAACAAAGCATATGAGAAAAACATACGTACACAAAAACGCAATCCCATTTATGGTTCTTTGAAAAAAATATTAAGTCTGTCCATTTTTAGAGCAGAAAATAGGGGAATACGATGTGATGATTTTTTGTCAATTTTTATAGGTATAATTTATTAGAATAGAAGCTTTCTCTTGCACACACAGATCTCTGTTAGACAGCAATAGATCTGTGAACGAGTCAAAAATAAAAACGTTCATCAAATTGTCGCCCATATATCTTCTGAAACACTAATTTCCTGAATAAAAAATTGTTACAGCGGTGATTACAATGGAGGAACCAATAAATGAGTTATAATCAGATAAATCCGTCGATCTTTTAATATGTCTAATATTAGTTTTGAATAGTTATAACCAGTCGTTAGAACACCGTTTGATAAATCGTATGAGTTGTGTTATAGTTTATTCTTATATTCATATTTTCATTTCGCGTCATTTAGACTATTATCAATCAAATTAATAAAAAATATTTTATTAAAAATAAATGTACCCTGTAAAATTATATGTATAATAAATAGAAATACAAACTACATGTGTAATTTTTGTATGATTCTTATTGATAATAAGCGAATTTCGGGTGTGTAAAAAATAAGGAACTATCATAAGGTTAAACGTAATTTGAAAATATATTTACAAACTCCCTGTAATTTGGTGATATTTTTTTATAAACAAATCATGCGAACATTTGTATTAATCTAAAATAAGTCTACTTTTACATTTCTTTGAGAACGATTATTTTATTTTGTTATATGCGCTTGTTGACGCCAAAAGGAATAAAAATACATCCATATTACTTACATTACGATAGGTAATACGCTGCATTTAATTTGGAGTTATCTAATTCAAATTATGAAAATGTTTTAAGTAACTCAATAAGAATGCCTGGACCTGTTTCATAAATGTAGAGTTATAAAAATTATGTAAAACTTATTTAAACGCTTACCCCTGTAGTGTTACATGGATTTTCGACAATAACAGAAAATCCATTTTCACAGAGGTATTCGTTTAGACGCATGTCAAAAACTGAAATAAATTTGTTGATAATAAATCTTATATTTAATTTAACACATTAAATTTTTTCAAGTTTTTGTTATTTCCGAACTTTCGAAGAATCTTTTAATACACATCTCATTATTCTCCAATGTACGGATAAGGCAACTGACGTCTTATGGCAGCTATATTAGATTAGTCTATTGGCGCGATAGTCAAAAATGGCGGATGAAGTAAGGAAATATGGAGTGCAGCTATACTTCATGTAAGGAAATCAGTAAATGTTTGTTATTTAACGAGATGAGTCCCTTTGTAGTTTAATCCAAGGTCTAATTTAAGGTCTTTACCTATGAAATTGCCGTTTATTATGAAATAACGTAATTTTTTACTATATTTTTATTTATATTAAAGTAATCACCCATGCAATCGATGCATTCTTTGCCAACGCAGTGACAGTTTATTCCCACCTTCTTGAAGAAATCAGCTGAACGAGAGGCAACAAATTCTTCAAAGGCATTTTGTACTGTCTTTTTGGTATTGATTTTTTGCCCGCCAAGAAGCTATCTAAATTCTGGAAAAACTAGAAGTCTGTATGCACTAAGTCTGGTGAGTACGGTGAATGACAGAGAGCTTCAAATCCTTGTGACTTGGAGACCGTCTGTTGTGCATTTATGAGGTGAGGTCGCGCGTTTTCGTACAGGAGCAGCGAGGATGAGCGATTGACCAAAGCTGGTTGGAGACGTGCGAGCTTCTTCATCATTGTGTTCAGTTATTCACAGTGCACATCTGCAAGATGATGATGATGAGAAGTTGTGATAAATCACATGTGATAAACACGGCGCGGCGTTAGGGCATTGTTAGGGTGCTGAACCAGGGTCCAACCAACTTGCTGAGTGCTTGCAATTGTCAAACAGAATCCATTTCTCGTCGTAGGTAACAATGCGGTTCAAAATTCCTTTTTTTGTGTGCCTGTTGAGCAAAGCAAGGCATTTCTTCGCGCTGGCGATCATTGAATTTTTACTTTGCCAAATTAATGCAATTGGACCAATATTGTTTTGATGCTAAAGTTGAAAGCTGTGGCTAATTCAGCCGTAGATTGAGTATCGTCAGTTTCCATAATCAACTTTAATTCGTAGCTGTCGACCAGTTTTCGGACGACCACGGGGTTCATTTTGTAGGTCGAAATTTTCAGAATGGAAGCAGGCAAACCAATAACAGATTCGTTTGTAGTATTCGCCCCGTTAACGTCGTTGTTGCGTGCCGCTTGTGCCGCGTTGCTGCCACTAC